TTAATCGACTGACAGCCCTAGTTTTTACATAAATTATAAATAAAACAAGAAAAAGAAACATGCCTTATTGTATGATGCCTTCAATCCAAAATAAATCAACACAATAAAATGAAATTTAAATTTTAAAAAGAATTACGTATTTAATTTAATTATCTAAAAAATACAAAAAAACATATTTAAATTACTTTAAAAAAGCAAGAACAACTACAAAAACAAAATAATACAACTGAAATCCCTTACTTACCTTTTCTACCCAGCTTCAGGCCTGGAGAGTTTTCAGAGCCCAGTGCTTTGTGGGAAATGTAGTGCTGCCTTATCCTGCCTGAGTTCTATGCAGAAAAATGTGAGTGGAAAACTTCTGTTGTGTTTCTCTGTCTTTAGTTAAGATGTATGTCTCAATGCAACAACAAATTGACAGTATTTGCACTATTTTAGGTATTTTCTTTCTTTAATATCTTACGTATTTTGTCTGTCGCTCTGTTGGAAGAGCCTGGGACTTTACTTCTTCTTGATAATGAAGTGGTTGAAACACACAAGTGGAAAGAAATGACTCAAACTGATAAACACCTCCTCCTCCTCCTCTCTTGCTCCGGTTCAGGTGTGGGTGTGTGAGTTCTGCGGATGTGAGAGTGCAGTGAGCGACAGAGTGTGTGTGGGTGACAGAGTGTGTGTGAGTCACAGAGTGTGTGTGGACGACATCTACCTGCAGAACCACAGCGAGGACGACTACCAGAACCTGGAGGAATCACTGGTGGTGTTCTGTGTGGACGTCTCCGGCAGCATGAGCGTTACTGCTGAGGTGTGTGTGTGTGTGTGTGTGTGTGTGTGTGTGTGTGTGTGTGTGTGTGTGTGTGTGTGTTAGCAGTGAGCAGATTTTAAGTAAAAGTAGCAAAAATAAGTAGTACAAAATGTGTTTGCTCTCCTTTAGGTAACATCAAGCAGTGGATCTCGAACATACATATCCAGACTGGAGGTGAGACACATCAGTTTGTAACACTCGTGCTCCTATTGGCTAAAGCTCCAACACATTGTACGCTAAGGGGCGGGACATCTCTAAGCGGTTGACCAATCACAGAAAGAGCTTTTTGAACATTAAAGCATGGAGACATGTCCCAGTAGAGACACTACATACTGATATACACCTGAACATCAGCAGGAGAGGACTCTTTAAAGTAGAGACACTACATACTGATATACACCTGAACATCAGCAGGAGAGGACTCTTTAAAGTAGAGACACTACATACTGATATACACCTGAACATCAGCAGGAGAGGACTCTTTAAAGTAGAGACACTACATACTGATATACACCTGAACATCAGCAGGAGAGGACTCTTTAAAGTAGAGACACTACATACTGATATACACCTGAACATCAGCAGGAGAGGACTCTTTAAAGTAGAGACACTACATACTGATATACACCTGAACATCAGCAGGAGAGGACTCTTTAAAGTAGAGACACTACACCCTGATATACACCTGAACATCAGCAGGAGAGGACTCTTTAAAGTAGAGACACTACATACTGATATACACCTGAACATCAGCAGGAGAGGACTCTTTAAAGTAGAGACACTACATACTGATATACACCTGAACATCAGCAGGAGAGGACTCTTTAAAGTAGAGACACTACATACTGATATACACCTGAACATCAGCAGGAGAGGACTCTTTAAAGTAGAGACACTACATACTGATATACACCTGAACATCAGCAGGAGAGGACTCTTTAAAGTAGAGACACTACATACTGATATACACCTGAACATCAGCAGGAGAGGACTCTTTAAAGTAGAGACACTACATACTGATATACACCTGAACATCAGCAGGAGAGGACTCTTTAAAGTAGAGACACTACATACTGATATACACCTGAACATCAGCAGGAGAGGACTCTTTAAAGTAGAGACACTACACCCTGATATACACCTGAACATCAGCAGGAGAGGACTCTTTAAAGTAGAGACACTACATACTGATATACACCTGAACATCAGCAGGAGAGGACTCTTTAAAGTAGAGACACTACATACTGATATACACCTGAACATCAGCAGGAGAGGACTCTTTAAAGTAGAGACACTACATACTGATATACACCTGAACATCAGCAGGAGAGGACTCTTTAAAGTAGAGACACTACATACTGATATACACCTGAACATCAGCAGGAGAGGACTCTTTAAAGTAGAGACACTACATACTGATATACACCTGAACATCAGCAGGAGAGGACTCTTTAAAGTAGAGACACTACATACTGATATACACCTGAACATCAGCAGGAGAGGACTCTTTAAAGTAGAGACACTACATACTGATATACACCTGAACATCAGCAGGAGAGGACTCTTTAAAGTAGAGACACTACATACTAATATGAACCCGAAATATGATCATAATATGTCTAAAGAAACTTTGTTATGGGTTATTTTGCTGCAGGGTATGCAGGATGCCCTGCAGGGGGCGCTGTCCTCCCTCCTGCAGGAGTCTCCCCGCAGGAGAGTGGCTCTGGTCACATTCAACGATGAGGTAGGAGAATAATGTGAGGTTTCACTCAAATGAAACACTTCATGCCACAACAAGTGTAAGGGACGACTATTGCCCTTTCAGGAATACCGTGTTTGTTGTTTTGTTGTAGCTTTTAAAGGTCAAAGATAAATACTGCCATTCAAAAACACCTTCTCCTCCCAGGTGGTGATATATGGAGATGGCACCAGCACTCCTCTGACTCTCAGGGATTGGGCGCTGGTGGACTACGACCATATTTGGAAACAGGGCGTGGCTTACAGCATCCCGCACTGTATCGCTGAGACGCACCAGCAGCTGATGCAGAGGGTCAAAGAGTAAGTGAACATGACGTTAAATTCTCTTTATACTTTAAAATACATTCACGTTTATTAATATCAATGTTTCCAGCCTCAGGGAACATGGAGCTACGAGTCTCGGTCCTGCAGCGTTGGCCTCGGTTGCCATGGCGTCAAGATATCCAGGGTCAAAGGTGAGGCAGTCTGAAGGACTTTTAAGGAATAAACCAGCATTTTTGGTGGTAAAGTTGGATATAGGTGCTTAAACGAAAAGGATGAGGGACCATGAGGACGAGCAATCAATTACCAATATTTTACTTTTTGTTGATTTAACTTCTTGCAGAAAGATACAGACAAACACTGTAAAATATTAATAGGCGCGTTCACACCGGAGTACTTTTCCCGTTTAGTTCCGTTAGTGCCTGGAATTTTGCCTTCACACCAAAAAGAGAACTTAGTTCAGAGAACTTTTACCACCATTGGTAGTCCCTGCTAGAGAGGTGGGACTATCCTGGGGAGAAAAAAGTACCAATTTCGATTGGCTGGGCGAATTGCAAACCACGCCCCGTAAAACTCTGAAAAGTTGTATTAATATAATAACTTATGGCAACACAAAAAAAAACATGGGAGCGGTGGAGTGATGAGGAGGTGTCGGCGTTCTGGCGATTTACTCGGAAGCCTTCCCCAACTCCGGGGACTTCCGGCCGGGGACTTCGGGTGGCAGTATACACCGTGAAGTTGTTTGCGGCCTGCCAGTAAACCCAAAGCAGAAGAAGAAGAAGTGACGTCAGCGGCTTCATTTGACTAATCTATGAGTGCTGGCACTAAGTACGGCAAAGTACTTGGTGTGAAAGCAGCTATTTAAGAAACATTGACAAAGAAGTGCCTTTCCTATTAAGATGGGGAAAACATATGCATTCAATTAGAATAGGTTTGTTTTATTTAGCATATAATTAATGTCATTCTTATCATTTAAAAAAAACAATCCTCTCATTTTTATTATTCGTAATGGTCTCTGTTTTTTTTAATCACTTTTAATTATATATTTATTTATCTGCTGTCCTTCTGCCTTTTTTTATAATGTCTTGTCTTTGTTTTAAAGCACCACATCTGTTGTATAAAATGTGCTCTATAAATAAATTGTATTATTGTCAAGAGACTAAAACACCTTCATGTTATTACTGCTATATGTAAAATGTGGTATTTATAACAGGTCGAAAGTGAGAAATGTAAATATGTGCTATTCTAACAGTGTGTGTCACTATCTACAGCAGGGGTGTCAAACTCAATGTAATCGCGAGCCACATCAGCATTAGGGCTGCACTCAAAGGGCCGGTTGTAACTTTAAGACTATATAAAAATACTTATATAAATATATATATAAAATAATGTATTATATTACATTATTGCCTCTGCATTGGATTAATATCAGATAGGGTAATAACTTAATAATTAACTATGTCTGAAAGCAGAAGTCTGGGGCAAATAATTGCAAGTCTCTTCAGTGAGAATGTCACAAAATGATTTTAAAAGAAAAGCCAAATTCTGGAGAAAAAGTTGACATTTAAAAAAAAAGGTAACATTTTGAAAAAAAAGTAACATTTAGAAGAAAAAAAGTCAAATTCGGAGAAAAAAACTCTAATTTGAGATGCATTGTGGGACATGTAGTTTATGGGCAACGTGCTTCTGTAAATCATCATGTAACCGTATAATAAATATATAATAATATTCTTTGCAAGCTCTTGTGGGGCCACAGAAAATGAAGTCACGGGCCGGATTTGGCCCCCGGGCCTTGAGTTTGACACCCCTGATCTACAGTAACTGAGACAGAAATGACTTGTGGGTAATGTAGTCCTCTGTACTCTGCAGGTGGTTCTGTGTACTGACGGCAGAGCCAACATTGGGCTGGGAGAGATGGAGAAACCTCCCTCTCTCTCCTCTCTCTCCCCCTCCTCCCTCACCCCTTATTTCTACAAACAGCTGGCTCAGCAGGCGGTGGAGAGCGGGTGAGGAAAGCTTGTTTTGAACGTGCATTCTACTGTGTTAATTATTAATTATTAACTAATACATTATAGTGGCTTTCTCTTCTTCCTGCAGAGTCATAATATCAGTGATGACGTTTGAAGGGACTGATTGTCGTTTGGCAGACGTTGGGAGGTTTGCAGACACAACTGGAGGAAGGGTGAGACACGTGCAGACACTGAGGGGACATTTTGTATTGTGAATGAATGCAAAGAGAAAATGAGAAGACGTGAGATAATGCAGAAGTAGATGTACAAGTTTACATTTTCAATGTCACATTCAGATTATTTTATGACTTATTGGACATTCTTACATTTTTTTATAGTATGTTATTATATTTTTTGAATCTTTTTATTGCACATCCGTATTCTTTTATTTTTTATTTTAAACTAAAACATGCAGTGGTTTATTAACTTATAAACTCCTGCTCTCCTCTGCTGCCCAGGTGAACATAGTGAGCATCGGCACCGTGGCAACAGAGATACAGTCGGCTTCCGTGGACAACATTCTAGCAACGGGAGTCACGGCAACCCTTATTGCTCCTGATGGAGTGTGAGTGACACCAAGAAATATACTGACAGGAAGTTAGTTAGTTCCTACAAATGATGAGGACATAAACGCCAAAATAAACTGGTTTTTTAATCCATATTAGAATAACTTTATTGATCTCAAATTGGGATTCCACACATTCATTTATTTCCTACTCATTTGTATGTTTACCTGGGAAATGAAGTATGTTTTGGTGATTTTTTATAATATTCTATTTCTTCCTCAGGTATTTTCCCTTTGAGGACGAACAGAATCACACACTGGTGAGAGAGATTGGAAACGTGACCAAAGGGCTGGAGGTCACCTTCCAGTTCGCTGTGAAACCACAGTTCATGGAAGGTAAGACACACAAAATCAGTATTAACATCTACTATCTTATGGTATACATGCATTCATGTGTGTGTGTGTGTGTGTGTGTGTGTGTGTGTGTGTGTGTGTGTGTGTGTGTGTGTGTGTGTGTGTGTGTGTGTGTGTGTGTGTGTGTGTGTGTGTGTGTGTGTGTGACAGTTTTCCTTCAGAAGGACACACTTCCTTTCCAACTCCAGCTGAGTTTTAAGACCAGAGACCAGGAGAAAGTGACTCGTGTGATCACTGAACAGAGACCTGTTGCTTCCTCCAGGTAAACACTGAAGGGGTGGAAATCAATATACATTTAACACCAAAAGTAAGGAAATGTGTGCTTGGTAGATTATTTATTTTATGTAACAATGCTTCTTGGCAATAACTCTTATACCGTGTGATTTTGTCACATTTTTCATGGGCGCAACCCACATACTCAGCTCAGATTTATTGCCAAAAAGCATTGATACAACAATACTCTGCCAAACACACATTTCCTTCTCCTGAAGTGGGATTTGGGCCGGGAGTCTCAACATGGCGGTGCTCGGCGTTCACTCCGCTCAGCTCTGCGCCAGATTAGCCATGGAGGGACGAGTCCAGGAAGCTCAGAGACAACTGAAGGATCAGCAACACCTGCTCAGACTCATCAGGTACGGCTGAACACACCTGAGATCCAGTTGAAGGGCGGATTAAAACAAACGACAACGATAAAAAAGGCAGGATTTCAAAGCATGGACAATATGGGGAGGATTTTCAAGTTGTGTGTGTGTGTGTGTAAAAAGGTATGGATGGTGAATGAGTATCATGGATTCTTTGATTTGTAGGAAGACACATATGCTTGAAATCACAATATGTGGACTTAATTACCATCTAGGGACAAAAGTTGTGTCTCCGCAACAATTTCAAAGTTTATATTCCTTTACTGTTTTATCATTCCTCTAAAAAATCTGCAAGATTTTACTCTTTTTACCCGGTGTGTTGCAGACAGTTTCATATTTTGTAAATTTTCTTAACCTTTCGCCTCAGTGACACACTCTGAATACACACACACACACACACTCCGACACACCTTAAACTTGTTTATACAGCTGTCTGCAATGTGTGTGTGTGTGTGTGTGTGTGTGTGTGTGTGTGTGTGTGTGTGTGTGTGTGTGTGTGTGTGTGTGTGTGTGTGTGTGTGTGTGTGTGTGTGTGCGTGTGCGTGTGTGTGTGTGTGTGTGTGTGTTAGTCAGCAGAGGCCTATCCAAAAAGAAGAGAGTATCTATGGCAACTGGATGGACACCATGACAACAATCTGTGACGACATCACACCTGGATCACAGGTAATCATACACCTCAATTATGAAACCAGTTTATAAATATATTATTCATTTCCACTTCAGTATTTTCTTTAGTCCTGTTCGTCTGTTAAAGAGCACAAGATCTACAATTGTCAATTAAATATGGGGAGTATTTTTTGTATTGGGTCATCGCAAAAAATATGTGTGTGTGCTCCAGCTCTAAATACAATATTACCTCGCTCTAGAGAGGTACAAATGTGTAGTATAAATAGCCAGATTGAGCCATTTTCTTCTGGTAATAACAGGTAATGTCATCTTTACCAACTGGGGCACACCATTTATTTGTATTCCCCACCAAATAGTGATTAAAGGGATGGTTCAAAGTGCAGTGGGTTAGCATAGCTTAGCATAAAGACTGGTAACAGGTGGAAACACTTAGCCTGGCTCCGTCTAAAAGTATCAAAAATCTGCCTCCATCTCCTTTAAAGATCATGTGATTAACATGTGACATTTTGTTCCATACAAAAGTTTAAAAAAAGACAGTAACCGGGATCTTTTACTCACTGATTTCTCATCTCTTTCCCCTCCAGACTCTCTCTGATGAAGCAGCGAAGGTAATGTACCAGATGAAGAGAGCCAGCAGCGTCAGCAACAACAACAACAACAACAACAGCAGCAGCAGCAACACTATTCAGAGGAAGGAAAAGGCCCTAATGGAAGGAACGTAAAGACATTTGGCATCCATAAATATGAAGATTTCATTTCATTTTTAGCCATATTGGCTTCATAGACTGTTTATAATAAGTGGATGTAGCCACCATGACATCAGTACCATTTTGAAGCCTCAATTTTGGCAATTTGGTCGTTGAGATCTTGTTTTGTTTTTTTACCAGAAGTGACTCAGTACAGTAGAACTGAACGCTGAACAAGACTCATAAGGCTACCAACATTTTTTATTAACTTTCATGAACTGAAAACACGAAAAACACCCAAACTGGACGACATAGTAGCTTGCTGTCAATCAATAGGTAGCCCTGGTCGTCTATTTGGTGTTAATCGTTAGACTTAAAGCTAATGATTAACACCGTAAACTCACAAGAAAAATGTTCGAAGAGGTAATAAATCAAGTAAGAAGCAGGGTCATTTTCTCATAGACTTCAATGGAGTCGAGTCGCCCCCTGCTGGCCATTTGAAATAATGCAGGTTTAATGTTTTTCCGCATTTTAAGACATGGATGTTTTAAAACTAGGTTTGCTCACAACTGAAGGAAAATGATTTTCAGTTACTTTTATTTATTCATAAAATGTGTATGCATATTCGATACAGTAAAACAATGTGTTTACCTTAATAACCCTTCTGTTTAGTTGCTAGTTAGCTAGTTATTGTATCTCTGAATGCATGCTCACGTTTCAACGTTAGATGTTGACATTTTTAAGGATTTGATGTATGTGTCGCTGTGTGAGTTGACTTCCAGACGCTTGCAAAGGATGATTAATTGCATGTGAGTATTTACAATCATAGGTATTATGTTATTGAAGGAGTCTGACCTGGCACAGTGACCTAGGAACATTTCTTAGTGTGTTTTGCGTACTACAGTCTGTCGCTGAGGGCTGTTTCAGTAGTTTATAGCCTTCAAATATGCCTTGTCATTAACTGTTACCTTTTTGAAGGAGCTGTAGATACTAATGGTGCGTTCAGGCGGCCCTAGTAAACTCAGAAAGTTGCACATTTTGTTCGGCACTACACAGTTTCAGAAGCACTGAAAATGGCTATGAAGCGGTACATATAACCAGTGCATTTTGGTTAGTGATGGAGACCAAAACAGAGCTTAAAGAGCGTGAGAATTCGACTCTAAATATGTCAATTAAATATGGGGAATATGGAGGCAATAGTTCATGGTTGCTCCAGCTTGAATACAATATCACCACCATCTGGATATCCATAAAACACTTTTTCTTGCCACATAACTCCATATTTGGCCTTTTTCTTTAAGTATGTTTTGGCAAAACTATATTTTTCTGATTATAAAAGGTCATCTAATCTTCACCAACTTTCTGATTCCCCACCAAAAAGTAATAAAAGAAACGTTCAAGATACTGTCAGCATGGTTAGCATAGCTTAGCATAAAGACTGGAAACGGATGAAAACAAGTAGTCTAAAGGTCACACAATTAGTCTACTAGATAGATGGAAACAAGACTCAAACTAAACAGTGGTGTGGCTCCTTAACTGCTGGATGTATAAATAAATAAAGAAAACACTTGCTCAATAAATTCCCTATCAACTTTGCAGTGAAGTCAAGCCATAACAGGCTATAAAACAACATTTATTGCAGCATATAAAACCATACAGCTCCCATTTACTATATCACAGAACTTCAAGTACCTTCCCTTGTGTTATTCAGGTACCTATAATAATAATATGGTATCATGATGCCATTACAGAGATTAAGGGGTTAAATACTGGCGATGTTTCTTCAGTGTAACGTCTGAATGATAGTAAAGATATCACTCGTCAGCTGTGGTGAGAAACAACATTGTGAGGAATGTACAAGAGGAAAAGCACTGATTGTACTTCGATCAGGAGATAAGGAGAAAGGAAAAGTACCTGGAGCTACGTTTTCTAATTATCAGGCACTTATTTTCTATTAATACTAGTACTCCAATTACAGAGGGAATGATTGCAGGTTTATCTCACCTGGATTTAATTTGCAGATTAAGATTTTTAATAAACAAAAACAAACAAATTACTTAATTGATAATTAAAAACCTGTGAACAAAGTTGTTTATACACAACTGTATACTTAATGACCCTACAGTTGTCAGAACTATCATGATTACACGTTGATGACACATCCGTAAATCAATCAAGGAAGACAGCTAGTTTCTTTTTTGATTTGTTGACATGTCATTTGTATAATTAAGAGAAGATTAAGCCTTTTTGCAGTGTCATTTTGTCACCTGAAAAGATCTTTGCATGAGACTGAGTGAGATGTTTTTGTCACAAAGCCCAGCATCCTGTTTGGGTACACACTTTCTGAGAATTGGCTTATCTCGAACTAAAGGCAGAGCATCATTTGCTGTGAGGAATGTGAGATGTCTGACTGGTTAAAAGACACGTACACATGTAGAAAACATCTAAGAAATCTAAAAATAAAATGAAAGCTAGCTCAAAGTAGCAGTAGGGTTAGGTGATATTTCTCGTATACACTGTTAATATAAAATAGTCATTAGATAAGGCTCTAATACAGTGTTTTGTGATTTAAAATAAGACAATGATAAGAGTGGTAACAGTAAACCAAAACAAAGAGCTTAAACACACTAAAAACCTCTGTAGTGCTAAAAGGAACTGCACAATTAAACGATAAGTCTCCTATTCATTATTAATGAAAAATATTGATTAGGAGAGCTTTAGGCTCCGTCCACACGGAGACGATATCAGTTGAATCCGCTAACGTTCTCTAGACGGTTCGTCCACACGAGGCCGAAACGGAGCTGCGGCTCCCAAGGTGGGTAGGTCTGAGGACGCAACGCTTGCGGCTCCGTGTGTACGCCCTATACGATCTTTTCCTGAAAACGATGACGCCATAGCCCCGCCTCTCCCCACCTCTGCTGCTCACCCCCGCGTCATTGCTGATGCGTTTCACCAACAACAACAATGGCGGATCACAGGGTTGCGTTCGTGCTCCAGACGCTACTGACCATGATACAGATTTTAGTGCAAAATCTACAGCTCCTCTACCACAACCATCAGCAAAGATAATAATATGATATAATAATAATAGTCATCGGTCTTATTCGCTGCTTTTGGTATATTTTGTGGCGGAAGTACAGCGCCACTTACAGGCCCGGCATATGTACTACAGCGTCTCCAGCGTTTTCATCTCCGTGTGGACGGGGCCTTAATACAGTGTTTTGTGATCTAAGAACCACCTGGATTTAAAACGACACTGATAAGAGCGTCAAAAACAAACCAAAACAAAGAGCTGAAAGACACTAAAAACCTCTGTAGTGCTAAAAGGAACTCTCCTGTACACATTTTAAAGTAAGAAAAGCTTTATTTCAGTGTTTTGTGATTAAAAAATGTGCGATATAGTAAGAAAAAGTCTTTATATCAAGCTTTTAAGCAATTTTTTTGACTGTTTTTGCAGTGTTAATTGCATGTTAACTGTATTAGAAAAATCTCACATTTCCCCCTAGGTGTAATTCAATTAGATGCTAAAGAAAGTTGATTATTTCTACACTTCAAAAGAGCCACTTGGATTTAAAAAAGACACAGATAAGAGCGGTATTAAACCAAAACAAAGCGCTGAAAGACGCTAAAAGCAAAAAGAAAGGAAGAAATCGCAATAAAGTACAGTTTATATGTCACAAAAACAATTGTTAACGTAAATATTGATTAGAAAGTGGTATGGTGTTGAAAAAAACGAGAAAGACATTTCAAAATAGTATATTTTATTCAATGTATCAACCAATTTAGCTGTTTTTCTGACGGCCTCGCAGTAATATTATGTTTATCGCTTCAGATACTAATCTTACAGTTCCCTTTAGGTGTAATTCTTCTAATTTCTGAAGAGTGTTGATTGTTTTAACTCTGCCAAGAAACTCTTTGACACGGCCTGAGGCAAGGAAACATAATTTGAACTTCCTCGCTCGCAGCTTATTTGTTTCTGTGAGCGAGTGGTTTTGGATAACAGTGTCTGATCAATGAAATGTTGTGAAATGTAATTCATCATTCTGCCAAATATACAACCAGTCCTGCCACTTTTACCTGCCAACAGGCACACAGGTAAGAGGGCGGGGACTGAGAGGAAATCACACACACACCTTTTTATGTCGCAGCATGAGAAAGCAAACACATTTCACAAGTCCGTGTGACGGTGATCAAGAAACAAGAACAAGGAACAACATACGGGAGGAAAATAACAAGAACAATTTCTACCTCTCTGGAGCTTTCTGGATCTTTTCTACCCGGCAACAGGCAAGGTTTAAACTTTCCCACTCTTATTTAATGTTCATAATTATCGAGGACAAGTTACTTATATACACTACACTTAGAGATAAGTGCAGAAACCAGTCTGATCTCTTCTACCGCGAATCATGTATTGTCTCTTAAATGTCAAACGTTGTGAAATCGTGTTGTTAATTGACTCCCTTGTTTATCATACCAACAGTCCATATCCATTCACACTCATATTAATTATCTCAGTATTGACTGATTGATTATTTGACGTTGTTAAAGCAGAAGCTATGACCGGAAGTTCCTCACTCTCCCACCACTGGAAAAAATGCTGCTCCAAAAACAAGTTAATGAATAAAAACATGGTGTTTTCACTTGAAATAAGTAAAATAATCTGCCAATAGAACTAGTGAAAATGTGCTTGGTTCCTTGACGATGGGATATATAGATAAATCAGATCTTGTAATCAGCTGGGAGAACTTATTTTGAACTATATTTTACCAGAATCAGGAAATGTGTTACAAAATAAGCCGTAAATGCTCAAAGGTTTTCTGTTTTCTGATGTTAGTTGGTGATTTTCCAATATGAAATACGACTCAAAATAAGATTTGTTGACTTAACAAGGTGATGCATTGTCTAAAAACAAGACCCGATATCTCACTGCATTGTTTCTCCTGAAGTTATTATGTCTTATAGCAGGTGTAAAGACATATTCTGACTAGATATTAGACACATATACTTGGCAAGATTTTGAGTTTGTGTAGTGACAGCATCATTGAAAGTAATAGTAACTTGATTTATGTAAATGTTTCTCTGGCTGCCCACAGGATGTCTTTATGTGGACGTTTTCTGTCCGATGAGCAGTTTCTGTGCTCGATCTGCCTCGATGTTTTCAACAATCCTTCGTCCACGCCGTGCGGACACAGCTTCTGTCTGGCCTGCATCAACAGATACTGGGACGGGGCGATGGTAGGGGAGTTTTTTTATTGTAAAGAAGGTGTGCTGGGTGTGACGGTGCTTTTTTTTAAATCAAGATTGTAAGAATAGTTGTGGAGGAATCTTGAAATACCTTCATATCAATCCATATAAGTTTGAAAATAAACCTTATTTATGGTTAATATTTTATAAAACAGTAATTTTTCCTTGTAATTATTTGATTTTGTGTCTGTATTAAGGTCCCTTTATTATCTTCCTGTCTCGTTTTTCTTAAAGTAGGCTAATCATCAAATACAGTCTTTTTTATCTGTAATAGTTTAAGAGGATTCTTGAAATACCTTCAGAACAACCCTATAAGTTTGAAAATAAACCTTATTTATGGTTATTGTTTGATAAAACAGTTATTTTTTCATATATTTATTAGATTTTCTCTGTATGAAGGTCCCTTTATTAGATCTTCCTGACTTATTTTTCTTAAATAATCATCAAATACAGTCTTTTTTTATCCGTATAGTAGGAATAGTCTTAGGGATCCTTCAAATATATGAATAATGAATTGTGACTAATATATTTTATAGAAACAGACATTTTTCATCCGTTTCTTTTATGTTTTACTGGATATTTCTCTATTGATGTACTCATAGATTTCCCGCTCATGGGCTTTTTGTTGTGTTTCTTTAATTGGGTTGATTGTTGACGTCGATTATTACTGTTCTTATCTTCCCCCTTTTTAGTTTTTGATAGTTGTTCTCCATTTGGATTATCCTGTATCTTCTTTGACCTCCTGACACATCATTTTATTTATAATAATCTGGATTTTATGTAGTTTTATGTGTGTACAAATACAAGGAAATGTGAATACAATACAATTAATATAAATTGTTACCTCAGCTAAACACAAATACACGAGTAGAACAAATTAGCCCTATAGACAGATTGTGTACGTCAACATCCATTCATCTTTACGTACGTTTTCCTGAATGTATTTTCCTCTTTGGTTTCCCTTTTTCCTCCCCTTTTAATGCATCCTTCCTCCCTCCCTCCCTCCCTCCCTTCCTTCCTTCCTCCCTTCCTTCCTTCCTTCCTCTCTTCCTCTCCCAGGTGTGCGTGTGTCCTCTGTGTAAGAAAACCTTCATGAAGCGCCCAGATCTGCAGATCAACCGGACGCTGAGAGAGATCACCGATCAGTTCAGATCAATGACTGGAGGGGGAGGAGTGGGGAAGGAGAAGGGAGGAAGAAGAGGAGGAGGAGGAGGAGGAGGAAGAGGAGGCGGAATACCGGATAATTTATATGAAGAATTAAGGAAGAAGCTGCCTCGAGTTTCACCAAAACCTCGAAAGACTTTTCCCAGTGAGACTCCAGGTAAGACGAGGGTTTCAAACGTTAGAGTCTGACATCAGTCGGTGTTTCTGTCATGGCTGCAGGACAACAGATATTAATGTTATCCTTATTATAAACCGTTTAGTCGAAAGTCTTTTTAAGAATTCTACAATAATGCTGAATAAAGCTCTCGAATATTAATTTAATCAGGCAAACAAATGTTACCTTCACTTCCTGAATTTGGGCGAAATGACTCAGGAAAAAAAACTGCCTGACTGAATTATTTTTTTTGCAAATATTTGTACTGCCATCTTTTTATATCCAATAAAAGACATTCAAATAAGAAGGGTAAAGCCCCCCCCCCCAAGGAAAGAAATACACATACATTATCAAAATAAGGCAGTTAACAGACTTTATTATCATCAACCAAGTAGATACATAAATGTCCTTACCAGAAATATACAAATATAAGTAGTAAATAATCATTTTTTTAAAGATAATTCACACAAATGCGTAAATAAATACTTAAAAAAATATGTAAATGGTCATGGAAAATTGTATAAAGAGTTATACAGCTGGTAAACAAGAAGATATACATTATCCAGTCAAGTCTTTCATATTCATTAATTAATCTTTTCAAAAAATGCACACATTTCCACCATTTTTATCAAAGTTATCAGGGTTTGCATTAATCCCAAAGGTTAATTTCTCCAATTTCTTAAGTCACTAACTGAGTTTTTTCTGGGTTTTATCCAAATATACATATTGTATGTTTAGCCTCAGGAAGAGACACAAATAATACATTTATGTTTGTGTTATAAGGCCTTGGGATGTCACCAAGATCAGAGCGTTTTTGGCTAACACAAATTCTTATATCTGCATTTTACAAATTAGTCTGGAACCAGATTTTCTGCGAGCTGTCGAGCACACTTCACCTTCCTCGATCTTTCTCCTAATTCCTGTATCTTCTTCCTTTAAGCTGTGTCCATCCCATCATCATCATCATCATCAGTCACCCCCTCTCTGGCTTCTTCAGTCCCGAGCCAAAGTCCCATCGCTGCCATTAAGATCCCCTCCGCCCCCCATCTTCCTCAGCCATCTTACCCTCGCTCCAACAGCCGGAGAAGGTTCACTATGAGCGGGGCGGCGAACGGCCCGAACCTCCCCGTCTGTGAGATCCACCACCGAGGAACCATGGTACTTTAACCTGAGATAACAATAGATAAAGAAGTGCTTTATTGTTTTGAGGTACCTGTACTTGGCTTTTCATGCCACTTTATTCCTGTAATTCTCTACATTTCAGGGGGGAATGGTTTTGTATACACCATATCAATCTGACGGCGTTAATCTATTAAGATTTGTGCACAGAAAACATAGGAGTTTGTCGATAAGAGCAACTTTCTTTTATGATCATTTGACATTTTAAACTTCTCAAATGTGAGGATAGTCAGATTTCCCTTTTTTTAGATATTTTGTTAGACGATATTTCAAGGTTTTAGTCTGGGTTTTCTTTATTGCAGCAGATGAATGTCTATCATCATATCAGTGTGAATGTTAAGATAAGATAAGTACTTTATTGATCCCTGTGGTAATTATACAATTTCTTTAGGAGGTACTAAAATGTCATATATCATCCTACCTTTCTGGGTTTTTCTTAAAGGTTCAACTGTTTGTATTCATTTATACACCAGATTGTGTAGATTTCCATCTGATTTGGGGGTTATATCCTAAAAGGCAATGCCAATGGAGCTAATATTGCACAATTGAACACATATTATCAAAATCTAAATATGGTATATGCTGCAGAGATATCCCAGCCTGTATTACTATTTTAGAGATCCGTGTTCATGTGATGTTTTGTTTCTTTCCGTTAACTGTCAAGTGGGAACTAAGTTTTTTTTTTTTGTTATGTATGCACCACGACATCAAGTCAATTCCTCGTACGTGTCAACCTACCTGGTGATAAACCTGTTTCTGATCAAAATGAAATGAAAGGTTTAACACTTTCTGACTGATTTCAGATTTACTGCCGGACTGATAAAGTGTGTATCTGTCCGGAGTGTGAGACCGAGGAGCATCAGGGTCACGATACGGTGACTCTGGAGGTCGAGTGGATGGAAACCAAGGTGGGGGAAACAGAGTGAACCTCTCAGACTTTAGGGAGATACTTTTTAAGCGTCTTTGCCTTACAAATAAGCACTGAAATGTATGTGTGTGTGTGTTTGTGTGTAGGACAGGCTGGTTGTGTCGCAGCAGGAGATCCAGGAGATGATCAGACAGAGAATCGGAAAGATCGAGGAGATCAGAAAGTCAGCGAGTGAACTGCAGGTAAAAAAACATACACACACACACACACACACACACACACACACACACACACACACACACTCTCACTCTCAGAACCGGAAAATCCTCCTGTCATCCCGTTATCAGCCTTTAATCAGAAATACTCTGTCGCTACTGTTTTAAAAAAAAAAAATGATAGTTTTACCTAAATTCTGTAGTCTATTTTCAAGGTTGTATCTCAAGAATTTCGGGTGTTTATAAAAAAAATTAGGAGGTACTAAAATGTCGTATATCAACCTAATTTTCTTGGGTTTTCTTAAAAGTTTTACCCAACTGTTTGTATTAATTTATACCTGATTTTTGCACTTTTTTTACACACCTGTTTTATGGGTTGTATCCTATATCAGCCAATGTCAATGGAGCTAATAGTGCACAACTTAACAAATATTATCAAAATCGAAATATGGACTGGTGCAATATTCAAAACAAAGAAAGCACAATTGTCGCTCAAGGCTAAATGTGCGTTTAAATACCATTTTGAATGAAGTATTATGGAGCTGCAGAGATATACCAGCCTGTATTAGTATTCTACAGGTCTAACAAATCTCACCATGATCATTTTAACTTATTTTTCAATGATAATGACAGTTATGATTCAAGTATGATCAATCCATCCAATATCATAATTTGATTTTGTGCTGCCTTATCAGGTCTAAAACCACCAGACCAAGGGACAGTTTCATCCCACAGGCCATAAGACTGTTAAACACCTGAACTTTTGAAAGACCATCCATAACATTCATCGGTTTGCAACTTAAAAAAATGTTTTATCTAATATATAATGTTCCAATTACTTGTATATAGACTATTCTTGCACTATTTCAATGTTATTCAATTTTATTCTATTTCCTTGCACTATTTTATCTGTTTTATTGTGTTGCACTGTTGGAGGAGCCTGTGACCTAAGATTTGTATTGACATATCTACACTGTAGCGATGTACAAATGACAATGAAAGCCTTGAATCCTTGAATCCTTGAATCCTTAGAGTAAACCTTGACCTGGAGGCTGTATTAAAGGTATCCTGACAGTCTTTAACATCCCTCCTCAGATGGTAGTAGAGCGAGAGACATCCGGCAGCATCTCCCTGCTCTCAGACCTGGTTTTGGCCGTCAAGCGCTCGCAGGCGGAGCTGCTGGAGGTGATGGAGATGAGCCGGAAGGCGGCGGAGCATCAGGCCGACGCCCTGATCCGACAGATAGAGCTGGAGGTGGAGGAGCTGCGGAGGAGAGAGAGCAACCTCAAAGAGCTCGTCCAATCAGAAGACCACATGCACTGTGTCAAGGTCAGTGAGGTCATAATGGTGGAGGATAAGCAGAGAGGGCAAATCCTTTACTCAAGTAGAAGTACAGATACTCGTGTTTAAAAATACTCTGGTAAAAGTAGAAGGACTGACTAAACTTATTTTCTCAAGTAAAAGTAAAGAGGCTTTGAAATGTACTTAAAGTGGACCTATCATGCTATATTTGAATAATATATTGTAGGGCCATACCTATATAAAACATGTCTGGTATTTTGAAAAAAAAACTTCACAAATAGATCAACATGACAACGTTTCAAACACACATTCAAACTAAAGGAACCAGCCTGTTTGGAAAATGTAAGAAGTAGAAAGTACAGGTATTTGGGTTCAACATGTAAGAAGTAGAAAGTACAGGTATTTGGGTTCAAAGTGTAAGAAGTAGAAAGTACAGGTATTTGTGTTCAACATGTAAGAAGTAGAAAGTACAGGTATTTGTGTTCAAAATGTAAGAAGTAGAAAGTACAGGTATTTGGGTTCAAAATGTAAGAAGTAGAAAGTACAGGTATTTGGGTTCAACATGTAAGAAGTAGAAAGTACAGGTATTTGTGTTCAAAATGTAAGAAGTAGAAAGTACAGGTATTTGTGTTCAAAATGTAAGAAGTAGAAAGTACAGGTATTTGGGTTCAACATGTAAGAAGTAGAAAGTACAGGTATTTGTGTTCAAAATGTAAGAAGTAGAAAGTACAGGTATTTGTGTTCAACATGTTTGATTGATTGATTGATTGAAAAGTTTATTAACAGCTTGTATATTGGGTACAGTACAGTACAGCTCAAAACATACAATTGTTAAGGGGATGCAGACCAGAGAAAGACTTTCGTCTTGTTTACATCAGGGTCCCCCATTTCCAATTCATCATATCATTTAAGACATATAAGACATATATGACATACAGATGGCTTATTTACAATTTACATACAGGTGGTTTTTTACATACAGATGGATTATTTACAATTTTCATTTTAGATTTCGTTCTAATACATCCTAACCGGACATTTAAGACATACCAAGTCTACAGATATACAGTTAGTAACAGAGTCTAAAATGCGAGTATATACATAGATGGGGGGGGGGAAGCTGTCCATTGTACGACAGGTTGAGATTTGTACCATTACCGGGGCCAGTTTTGCAATGCTTTCCCCCGAAGGTGCTCTTTAAGAGAGGTTTTGAAGGTAAGTATAGTTTTACTTTCCTTTACAGTTGTGGGAAGAGCGTTCCACCTTGATGTGGCATAATTGCGAAACGTGTATTCCCCTTTTTTTGTGCCAAATCTGGGTTTTACATGATTTGTGGAGCTCCCTCTGGTGTTATGATCATGGTATTCCTTGACCTTTGGGAAGAATTTTGACATGTACATGGGTACCATAGAGGTGTAGTGGATCTTGTAGACCAGGCCCATTGCAAGTAGCTGTACTCTGTCGTCTACTCTAAGCCATCCTAGGTTGTCAAAGTGGGCAGAGGTGAGGTGGGTTCTAGATGAAAGTTCAAGCAGTAGTCTGACCAGTTTATTTTGCGATGTTTGAAGTTTTGTTTTTAGCGCCTTGGAGGTGCTATGGTACCATGACGTGCAAGCATAGTCATAGTACCCTTGAATGAGTGCTCCTGCCAGAGTTTTCAGGGTGTTTTTGTTTACCAGAGAGGAGATCCGGTATAGGAATCTAGTTCTTTGATTGACTTTTTTTATTACATTGGATGCCATTTTGTCACAGGAGAGGTTTGCCTCAAGAATAGATCCTAGGTATGTAATTTCCTTCTTACTTGTGACAATAATGTCACCCACTGCAACTGAGAAGTCGTCGGATTTGCTGAGATTATGTTTCGAACCGAAGAGAATGGACTCTGTTTTACCCAGGTGTAATGATAATTTATTATCGGCGAGCCAGGTGCAGATTCTGCCGAGCTCGGAGCTGAGGGTTTTTTCAACCTGCAATCTGCTCCTGTCAGAGACCAGCAGGGCTGAGTCGTCCGCGAACAGGAACAAGTTGCAGTCACATGCTGATGACATGTCATTTGCATAAATTAGGAACAGTAACGGACCTAATATGCTTCCTTGTGGAACACCACAGCTCACTGGGAGGGGGGGGGACAGAGTACCGTTTACCTCCACCATCTGTTCTCTCCCCTCCAGGTAGGATTGCATCCAGCTCACCGATAGTTTATCAAAACCAATTGCTTTTAGCTTGTCAATCAGAATGGGGTGATTGACAGTGTCGAAAGCCTTTTGTAGGTCCAGCATCACCATGCCGCAGTATTTACCCTCGTCCACCTCTTGTTTGATGTGGTCGGTCAAATAAAGAAGGCATGTGTCAGTGGAGTGGGATGTTCTAAAGCCAGATTGAAATTCATAGATTAGTTTCTTTTCTGCGAGGTACTTTTCGACCTGTTCATATACTATTTTTTCCATGACTTTCGAGATGGAGGTAAGTATAGAAACAGGGCGGTAGTTGCCTGGGTCCAATTTGCTGCCCTTTTTGTGCAGGGGGGTTACTCTTGCAATTTTGAAGTCTTTGGGTACTTTTCCCTGTTTTATGGAGAGGTTAATTATGTGAGCTATGACTGGTGAGATGGCGGTTGCTGTGTCTCTGAGGAATTTGGAGGGGATATTGTCGTGGCCAGTGGCCTTGTTAGGTTTGAGGGCGCTCAGTTTAATGAGTACCTCTGCTGTTGTTACCCTTGCTAGACTGAAATCATCTTTGCGTACCCCTAGGTTTTTGTAGTAGGTCATGATGTGATCTACTCCAAAAAGCCCTGAGTGGGAGGGTAATTTATTTACAAGAGTTGTGGCTATGTTTGTGAAAAAAATGTTCAAGTACTTGGCCACATCCAGTTTGTCTGTGATGAGCCTGTTATCTGTCTTTATGTTTACGTTTGAAAATCTCGTTTTGAGTTTTTTACTGCAGCCAAGCTGGTTATTGAGTAATTTCCAAAGTTCACGGGGTTTATTTTTGTTTTCCTCAGTTTTGTCATTGATGAAATTCTTTTTGGCAGTTTTGATCATGGAGCTTACGTCATTTCTTAGTCTGTTTCTTTCAATTTTTAGTTCAGTCACGTGGGCCTGGAGTTCACTGCTCGTGCTTTTGGAAAGCATTGACTGACTTTTATGAAACTCAGAGCATTTTTTGTCTCTGGTTTTCATGGCGGTCAGTATGCCGGAGTGCATCCACGGCTCAGCGCGATTTTTTACCCTGGTTGTTCTTAGGGGGGCCAAATCATTGAGTATTGCAGAGAATTTGTTTTTGAAACCAAGCCATGTTTCTTCAACTTGTGTACCACTGAGCTCATCTGACCAGTCCAGGCTCTCCAGTTCTAGGTTAAAGGCCTCGCTAGAGTAGTTTTTGAGGTCTCTAGATATGACTGTTTTGTGACAGCCGGCCTTTTGTTTTAGCTTTTTGCGGGTACAGAATATCATATAATGATCACTTAAACCGCATGCTATAACCCCTTTACTGGAGATCCTGGACCTGTCAGAGGTCAGAATGAGATCAATGGTAGTTTGTGTTGTTTCACATACCCGGGTGGGTTGGGTGATTAGCTGGCTGAAGCCGTGCAGATCACAAATCCTACTGAAGGACTTGAAGACGGACGTGTCTTTACGTTGCATATCCGTGTTCCAGTCTCCAATAATAATTGTCTCTACATCCCCCACATCAGCCAAACACCCATCTAATGTATCATAAAAGTCACTCTGTTCCGGTGGTCTATAGATTGTCCCGACTATTACAGATTTAGCATTGTCAAAAAGAATTTCAACCCACACAGATTCAATATTTTCATGATGCAGGTCAGTACGGTTTTTGAAATTGGTGTCTTTATGTATGTACATGCAGACACCACCTCCATTCACGTTCCTGTCCCTTCTCACTACAAGATAATCTTCAATTTCAATCTCTGAATCTGTAATGGAATTGTCCAATTTGGTCTCAGAAAAGCATAATATGCTTGCCTTACCGTTCATGAACAGTTGCCTGAGTTCAGCCAGTTTGTGTCTCAGACTGTTAGTGTTCAGATGAAAAATATGTAGTCCATTTTTGTTGTTTAAATGCATAATGTCGTCAGCTTGAAGATATTTGTCTTTGTCCGTTACAGCAAACGGCTTGCGGCCTGCCGTGGTGCTTGGAGCGGTGGGGTGGTGGGGGGAGGGAGGCTCCGTTGTAGCTTTAGCCGTCGATATGCTAGCAGGGTGGCTAACAACATGGTGGATATTTGTTCCCTCGGATCTCGGTTCTCTTCCTCTCGTCACTGCCTCATGCGTGTCTGTCTGCCGAGGCGTCCCCGGGGGAATGTCGAAGTCTCCGTTGATTCCTCGGTCTCCGCTGTCTCCATGGTCTCTGTTGTCGTCGCGTAGTTGTTGCTGTAGCGGAAGAGATGCTAGTTGTGATGCTAGTTGTGATGCTAGCTCCTCCAGCCTGCAGGACTGGCTTCTTGTCTGCACCGGGCCCGGATTCAGATGGATGTCTCCCGCTAACAATAAGACCAAGACGATCATGTAAGAAGTAGAAAGTACAGGTATTTGTGTTCAACATGTAAGAAGTAGAAAGTACAGGTATTTGTGTTCAACATGTAAGAAGTAGAAAGTACAGGTATTTGTGTTCAAAATGTAAGAAGTAGAAAGTACAGGTATTTGTGTTAGAAATGTAAGAAGTCAAAGTAAAAAGTCGTCAGAAAAATAAGTAGTGGAGTAAAGTACTGATACCAGAAAAATGTACTTAAGTACAGTAACAAAGTATTTTTTTTTCCAGACGTTCCCCATCCTCTCCAGCCCCCCGCCTGCCAAAGACTGGTCGGGGGTGTCGTTGACCCATGACCTCGGAACAGGGACCGTCTACAGGTCGCTGGCCGCTCAGATGGAGAGGTTTCAGGAGGAACTGAAGAACATCGCAGAAAAAGGTCAGAAAAATGCAAAATACACGGCCTGTTTGCAAAGATAAGAAACAACGAAGCAGCAAAAGAGCCGCTTTATGACTAATGACCTATAATATATATATATAATTAATTACCCTTATTCTTTAAACACTTGAATGAATTGACCGTGGGCCCAACAGGGTGCCAGGTGGGACACCAGAGTTTTTTTAGTAAAGCATCAAAACAGACTAAAAGAGCTTTTTTATGCTAAGTTTTTTTAATTGGGGATTGGATGATAGAGAGAGGTTTTAATTTGTATTAATGTGTCCCTAAAATGTATAACTAAAATGCAATTACAGCTATAAAACGCAGTAAAATGTCACATATACTGTATTAACGCTATGGATATTTTTCTTATACTGTTCATATGTTTATATTTACTGTTTATGTTTATCATGTATTAAATGTTATGTTATTATATCTGTAACTCATTTGCAATGCCTTGTTAACATGCTTCACAATTTGGGATCAATTAAGTATTTCTAATTTAATTTGTCACATTTTTAAGTCAGTTAATTTGTAAATGATTATTTTAAAGAAAAATAAGTTATGGACCTTTTGGTCATTATGAATTTCGTCTGATAAATATTATTCCTCTTTGTTTATTAACTGATCCCTGGCTTTCTGTAATTTAGCTAAATGTTAGTGTCCCTACAACAGATCTAGTCATCATAAAGAGCTGAAATGCTGCCCTCTAGTGGTGGAAATTAGTATCATAATAATAATTTTGTTCTCTTTGTTTCTTACAGGTTTTCCTCCATTAGTACTGGAACCCAGTCCGGTCCGACCACAGCCCAGTGAGTGTCCAGCCCACCTTAAATATGCTAAAATATTCAGGATAAAATATGCACATAGTCTTGTGATCATTCCACCTTTAACGAGTTAACGATATAGTTAACTGAATAGTTAATTCAGTGCATTATTATGGAGTTTTACCAACATTTCAACACAACATGTCTGTTTTTCTGCAGAGATCAGGAGGGTGCAGGAGTACACAGGTCCAACACATTACTTTTGGACACATATTGCTTCCAGACGTGATTTAAAAATAGAACAATATACAATTATTTTGATTCCTCCTCTCTCTTTATTACAGCGGATGTGACTCTGAACGGCAACACCGCTCACGCCAGACTGATTCTGTCAGAGGACATGAAGAGCGTCAGTATTACATTTTTATATATTCATAGTTTAGTTAAGCGTGCATTTGTAAATCTCAAACCCATCAGAAAATGTTTACAATCTAAAGAAAGTGTCAAAAATAATGATTAAAATGCATCAAAGTCCTTTTTTTCCCTTCCTGTCTTTGTATATATATTTGAATCAAGCAGATGGAGTATTTTGTCATCGAGGATTCTTGAAATTCCTCCTATGTGTTTGAAAAAACCCCATTATTTATGGCTAATATTTTAGGTAAACCATATTGTCTTTAATGTAAAAAGAAAAATTATTACAATTGTGATATGTTTTTTCATGTTTGCACTCATATTTTGTGTTTAAAGAAAATCATTTGAATATTTGATCCGCTTTTTTACCAGTGGCATTTAAAGTATTGAATGCTTTCCTCCTGTATGATATATTATATCATGCCTATGAATTTCTGTAGTCACTAATATTGATAATCTGTGTCAATTTCTCACCTGAGGCTTTATGTATGATGAATTGTGACATGTCTATGAATGTCTGTATACACTAATATTGAAAGTGTGTGTGTGTGTGCAGGTGCGTTGTGGAGATCGGCACCAGATGCTTCCAGATAACCCCGAGAGGTTTGACAGAGTGGTGTGTGTGTTGGGGAGAGAGAGCATCTCCACTGGGAGGCACTACTGGGAGGTGAGAGGCTAAAATCTGCTTTATTTAAAACAGAAACACACTTTTTTAACGGAGACATGTGCTGCAAGTTGACACGGAAATGCACATTTTGTGTTTATGCAGAGGGACAGATATATATTGGTCATGATGATTTCAGAAAACTTTAACGAGGGGACAATTGTTTAGTTTCTTTGGTGCCAGTTGCTGAAAGAATATTTGTTTTATTATAAGAAGTTTCAGTAAAAAGCCGGCAGTGACTCAGTCAGTAGGGACCTTGCTTGGGAACCGTAGGGTCGCCGGTTCAAGTCCCGAACAGACCTTAATATGGAGTATGGACTGGTACTTGGAGAGGTCAAAGTTCACCTCCTGGGCCCTGCCGTGGTGCTGCTCCCAGTACTAGGATGGGTTAAATGCAGACGTCCAATTAAGTGTGTGTGTGTCAGGTGGAGGTGGGGGGGAAGACGGACTGGGACCTGGGTGTCGCCCGACAGTCCATCAACAGGAAGGGGAAGATCGAGGTAACCCCGAGCAACGGGTACTGGTTCCTCAGCCTGAGGGAGAGGTGAGTGTTAACAGCAGGTGTTCTCCTGATATTTCAATTTCAATTAACAGCTGCAAATGAATCAAAAAGAGGACAGTGACATTACTGACATTTCTCCTGCTTTCTCCTTTAATTTAATGTCAATATAACAGGAACAAGTACACCTTTCGCAGCGAGCCCTCCACTGACGTGCAGCTGAGCCTCTACCCACAGAAGATCGGGATATTTGTGGACTTTGAGAAAGGACAGGTGCATTATGGGAAACACAACTCGCAAACCTCTTTAAGGGATAATTAATGCTAAGGTTAAGGGACAGTTAAGGGTAAGGTTAAGGGACAATTAAGGCTAAGGTTAGGGGACAGTTAAGGGATAATTAAGGCTAAGGTTAAGGGACAGTTAAGGGATAAATAAGGCTAAGGTTAACGGACAGTTAAGGGATAATTAAGGTTAAGGGACAGTTAATGGATAATTAAGGTTTGGGGACAGTTAAGGCATAATTAAGGCTAAGGTTAAGGGACAGTTAGGGGATAATTAAGGCTAAGGTTAAGGGATAATTAAGGCTAAGGTTAACGGACAGTTAAGGGATAATTAAGGTTAAGGGACAGTTAAGGGATAATTAAGGTTAGGGGACAGTTAAGGGATAATTAAGGTTAAGGGACAGTTAAGGGATAATTAAGGGTAAGGTTAAGGAACAGTTAAATACACATTAAAGTCAGTATTGTTTTTTGCATTTTAAGAAAAATATTCACAAAGCATACATAAAGAAACACATCTAGGTACACAGATTAACTTCATAACAGATGACAAATTGAAAAGAAATAATAGTAATAATAATATTACAAATAAAAGAATGGATACATTATTAATACTCAGGTATACATTCATTATATTGTTCTATACTTGACCCATTTTTCCCACCTTTCCTCAAAGATATGCATTTGATTTATAATCTAGTTGTTTTCTCCATTACATAGATTTCATTTACTAAGTTACTCCATTGTGAGTTTACTAAGTTATTATCTTTTAGCCAATTCCTTGTGATTTGTTTGATGATCGCTATTCTAATTAGCATTTTTTTATATCCTCTTGGCTCTGCAGGTGTCTTTCTACAACGTTGACGCTAAAATCCACATCCACACGTTCCACGACTCGTTCACCGAGTGCATCTTCCCGTTCTTCAGCCCCTGCACCAACAAATCTGGGAAGAACGACGGGCCGCTCACTATCACACCTGTCACATGAGACAAACACACCGGTCACATGACACACACCTACCTGGAAGTTGTGTTTCTTTTTTTTTTTACACACTTAGTTATCTTGTAAACATTATTCCAGGTCATGTTTTTGAGATATAAATCCATGTTTGGCTGCTTCAAACTTTCTCCTGATTGTAAATAGTTCATGGCAATTTGAATATTGTGTGCTGATCATTTATTAAAACAATCACATTCAATTAACAAACACATCTGGTTTTATTCATGCAGTCACTTTGGTTATTATCTAACCATTGACTTCCACTTACTTGCAGAAAAGCAATTTGGAGACTTAACCTTAAAGGGGACCTTTCATGCAAAATGCACTTTTTGATGTCTTTTCTACATCAACATGTGTCCCCGGTGTGTCAGAGAACTCACGCAGCGTCAGAAAATAAAACCCTCTCTTTTCCTCCGTACCCAAATCTCTAAAAACGGGGCTACAACGGAGCTGATCCAGATTTGCGTCCGACGGAATATCGGAAATGCGGACCCACGGCATCAGAAACGTTGCTATCAGAAACAATGCCCGACTATTTTGGACGTAATATGGTCGGTGTTTACATTAGCATCGCTAACACTCAGAGCTAACCTGTACTGGAGAGCATGTGTGTGAAGAAGCAGGAAATAAAAAGGAACTCACCTTGTGGTATAACCGGCAAGAGAGAAAGGCTTTGAGCTCCATACTGTTTCAGAAAGAATCCTTGATAATCCATGATATGGCGTTTCATCACGGCAGTATTTAGTTTAGACAGTAGCTGCCGGGTGCCGCATGAGCTCAGCACCCTCCTTTTATATTTTGTATCAATTTTTTAAAGCTTTATACCCCAAATCAGCACTTTTGAAACAGGAAGTGAAATAGAGGGATATGAGGCATGGCTAGAATGGGTGATCTGTTTGGTATTTTGAGCAACACACTTCAAAGACATGTTTTTTATATATTTGTATATATCTGAGACCTATGCTATTGCCTACAAATAGCATGATAGGTGACCTTTAAGTTCTGATTACTTACAGTATTATTTGGTATATGGAATGTTTGGATATGCAAATGAGGCATTATCTAACGCTTACTTTCGGTGAATTAAGGAGAAATCGAAAGACACAAATAGACTTAGTTTGTTCAAAATATGAAAATAAATTAGATGTTTTGAGAAGTCTGTAAGGGAAGCAAAATAGCCCAAAGCTTTCAGAAAATATGGATATTTTGCCTTTTTTGTTTTGCTTTAAAGGGGCCCTATTACGCTATTTGGGGGTTGTCCCTTCCTGTAGTGTGTTCTATAGGTTTTAGTGCATGTAAATGGTCTGCAAAGGCTAATATCCCTGTAGCCAGCTGACCAATCAGAGCAGACTGGGCTCTGGTTTCAGACAGAGGGTGAAAAGAGGTGCTGCAGCACAGGCAGTATGAGAGAAATAAAGAGCTTTCTGAACATTAAAGCATGGAGACATGTCCCAGTAGAGACACTACATACTGATATACACCTGAACATCAGCAGGAGAGGACTCTTTAAAGTAGAGACACTACATACTGATATACACCTGAACATCAGCAGGAGAGGACTCTTTAAAGTAGAGACACTACATACTGATATACACCTGAACATCAGCAGGAGAGGACTCTTTAAAGTAGAGACACTACATACTGATATACACCTGAACATCAGCAGGAGAGGACTCTTTAAAGTAGAGACACTACATACTGATATACACCTGAACATCAGCAGGAGAGGACTCTTTAAAGTAGAGACACTACATACTGATATACACCTGAACATCAGCAGGAGAGGACTCTTTAAAGAAGAGACACGACATACTGATATGAACCTGAACATCAGCAGGAGAGGACTCTTTAAAGTAGAGACACTAGTACATACTGATATACACCTGAACATCAGCAGGAGAGGACTCTTTAAAGTAGAGACACTACATACTGATATACACCTGAACATCAGCAGGAGAGGACTCTTTAAAGTAGAGACACTACATACTGATATACACCTGAACATCAGCAGGAGAGGACTCTTTAAAGTAGAGACACTACATACTGATATACACCTGAACATCAGCAGGAGAGGACTCTTTAAAGTAGAGACACTACATACTGATATCAACCTGAACATCAGCAGGAGAGGACCCTTTAAAATAGAGACACTACATACTGATATACACCTGAACATCAGCAGGAGAGGACTCTTTAAAGTAGAGACACTACATACTGATATACACCTGGACATCAGCAGGAGAGGACTCTTTAAAGAAGAGACACTACATACTGATATACACCTGAACATCAGCAGGAGAGGACTCTTTAAAGTAGAGACACTACATACTGATATACACCTGAACATCAGCAGGAGAGAACTCTTTAAAGTAGAGACACTACATACTGATATACACCTGAACATCAGCAGGAGAGGACTCTTTAAAGTAGAGACACTACATACTGATATACACCAGAACATCAGCAGGAGAGGACTCTTTAAAGTAGAGACACTACATACTGATATACACCTGAACATCAGCAGGAGAGGACTCTTTAAAGTAGAGACACTACATACTGATATACACCAGAACATCAGCAGAATTGAGCCCTTTTAAATTCAAGTTTTTTTTGTGTGGTGCTGCTGAGTTGTGTTGGCATAATAAAAACACAAGACAAAAACGTTCAAATATCTTAAACTTCATTGAAAATCACAAAACAAATCAACATAAGACACAATGATTCAATTTAAACAGTGACACAATCCCATGAATGAGCCGAAGGACAAACATAAATCATACATTAGTGAATAAAGCACACAGGAAACCACTACATTGCTGTAAATTGGGCACTTGACAAAAAAAAAAAACAACCATCTATACTTCATGTATATCCAAGCACTCAAACTCAACATTAGCACAATGCTACATCCATGTACCTTGTGGACATATGATCAAAAGTTAAAGCAAATAGTGTTGCTTTAAAAAAAGGCTACCACTTGCAAAAATAAATAGTGGTGTAGTGTCCAGCAGATTCTGGTGTAGTAGTTTGAGTTATAGGGATACTTCTTATACCGTTTATATTATTTTATATCATCTTCACATTACTTATATTCCTTCTTTTTGAAAAATGTCTGAAGAGCATGCATTTTAAATCATCGCACGTCTCCAGATCTGATTGTAAACAGAGGTCAATCTTCAGCATTTAATCTCTCTCTGTGATGTTCAGAAGTTGATGCGGTCGATGCGGTGCTGCTCTCTGTGAGACTTTGCCTTCTCTTTCTGCAGCAGGATGTGTTCGGCGAACTCCCGCAGAGCGCCCGCCCCCCCCCATTTTGCGGCAGGTGTACTTCGAGGCGTTTATGGCGACATTTGGAGCGTCTCCAGGAACCGCACTCATCCCCGCGAGATTCAGACAGTTGACGTCCTGCTGGTCGCTTCCTGAGAGGGGGAAAGATAAATCAGAGAGACATTAAAACTCATGTTTTCATATGGAGAGAGCAGAGGTGGGAAGCAGTGGAGTACAAATACTTAGTTACTGTACTTAAGTACATGTTTCTGGTATCAGTACTTTACTCCACTACTTATTTTTCTGACGACTTCTTACTTTGACTTCTTACATGTTGAACACAAATACCTGTACTTTCTACTTCTTACATGTTGAACACAATTACCTGTACTTTCTACTTCTTACATTTTGAACACAAATACCTGTACTTTCTACTTCTTACATGTTGAACACAAATACCTGTACTTTCTACTTCTTACATTTCCCAATCAGGCTGGTTCCTTTAGTTTGAATGTGTGTTTGGTGGCGTGATCATTATTATTTAGAGTCATTGCGTGCCTATTGATTTGAACACGATCCGTGTATCCATCATTTTCTGAGGCCTGTACTACGAAGCTGGTTCAACCTAACCTGGATATGTTGGAGTTAGCCGGTTGGCGTAATCCAAAACATACGCGCTGGCGCTAAACTGTACTACGACGCTGGATATCAAGTGGATCGCTCAAGCCGCCGTGTCCTATCTAGTTCGGTGCACGTTCACATGAAAGGGGTGGTATTTGGAGCATTCGACCAATCTCAAACACGGAGAAGCGTACTGACAGCGCAGCGTCATACTTCCTGAATGAAAAGTGAACTTTAATATTAGTCAAATATGAGGAAGTTAAACTTTAAACATCCATGACTTAAACACTTTACCCAGGATAAAAGCCACATAGCTGCACCTGCAAGGTGAATACAGCTGGTAAAAGAAAAAGTGTTTGAATGCGTACATTAACAGGTTTATGAAATCACTGCCCCGTCCAAGACACGAGTGGATCTGACTTTAATTAGGAGAATTTGACTCGAGTGTTTCGTCAACTTAATGTGTTGCTTAAAATAATACTTCTGCATACAGTATGTGACACTGTGAGTGTTGCACGGCCAGATACGGCTCAAGAAGCTGACTCAAATAAGGAAATATATGATACATTATGATGTGATATGATATGAATGATAATGGGACACATCGACGTCTGCACTCACAGTGCCGCGGACTGTACTTAATGTTACTCTGATCCGGTTACTTATGTTGTGGCAGATATTTAAGTAAGCTTTCTTAACGCTAATGTTATAATAGTCAGATTGCTCTGAAGATGGGAGGGGATATTCTATTAATATTCACGTTCACACAGTCAGTTGATTTTGGCCGGCAGTCTTTCCTGCAACGGCAGTTTTTCTGTATTTCCTCTATCCTGTAATATGACTTGATAGCTTTAAACTCCGCACACGGAGCTCTGATTGGTCAGCAGGCGGTGCTTTAACTGAGTTGATCTCTTAGCCTGCCACCTAACCTGCTCCGGAGCAGGTTTGCCGCTCAGCATAAGTTACCATGGAAATGTAGCCTGCTAAAAAGAGAACCAGCGTCGTAGGACCGGAAAGCCCGAGATTTCCCTGAATTTAGCCAGCTAAGCGAAAATCCAGCTTCGTAGTACAGGCCTCTGGTAGAGAAAACACCAGAGGCCTGTTGCATGAGAATCTGAATACATGCACACCACTAGATGGCACTGAGTTGTATTTGCAATATAACCAGCAGTTTAAATTGTTACAAAAATGTTCTTGGATGACTAAATTAGCTTTAGCTAGGGCGGCGTAAAAAAGCCTTTGTTGGTTCAAAAATAATAGTGATGTAGCTGGGGAAGGGGGGGGGGGGTTATATTCAGAGATTAAAGTTGTAAATTAATGAGGAATAAACTTGGATATCCTCTGAGAATAAAGACACATTTACAAGATAGAAAAAATACATTTCTGAGTTTCTGAGTAAAAAAAACTAAAAATATTTGGAAACATTTAGATGTTGTTGTTGTTGTTGTTGTTGTTGTTGTTATGGGTCTGCATTGCTTTATTTACAAGGTTGGATCAACCTGTAGTGAAAGACCTTATCAAATGATACTTAGCAATCACAATATACTATACTATGCTATAAGTACTATTTTTGTGTGCATTAATTGCGTTTTTATGAAACTTTTTGACACTTGAGCCCAGCACTCTTTATTTATACATCCCAATTAGGGCTGCAACAAACGACTCATTTGATTATCGATTAACGAAACGAGTAATCGATTATTCGGATCGTTAAGGTTTTAAACGGTACTACTACTTTTATCGATACCGCTTATCGATCCGGTCCTTTAACGGTACTCTTAACGGTTCTTTTGAAAAGAAATAAGGTAAACTAACTAAACAAATTGCGAACAACATTAACATTGCTTTTTATTTTAAATTAAATAAATAATATTTCACATCAAAAGAAACAACAATGTTTTAACAAATCATATTAAATAATGTGATGACAGAACTGTAAACAGAATAGCTGAAACTTTAACAAACTAAATAACTCAGTTCCCTCTAATCATTAACCCATGTTTATATAATTGAGTTAGCTCCGTGTGTTGCTGCTAGCATACATAACACCTGACGTGGAAACGTTACTCGTGGACGGGGCTACAGAGCCACTAGAAAGACAGTCGAACCCGGTGCATTTCTCCGTCTGAATGTGGAGCACTTTTGCTAAATGTTTAGACAGATTGCTCGTGTTACCGCCCTGACATGCTAAACTCTTATTGCACTTTTGGTAACGAGCATTGTCCACATCGAGACGGGTAAAGTTTAACCACACCTCGGAGCGCTTCTCTCCGCCATCTCCTCCGTGTGTGTGTGTTGCTGCATGTAGCCGGGTGTGTGTGTGTGTGTTGCATGCATGTTGCAGAGCGTGTGTGTAAACTGCCCCGCCCCCTCGCACACAGACAGGGGAGAGAGATCTCTTGTCTGGATTGGAAAGATCGAAAATACATCATAGACGCATTTTGTAGTCTTATTGCATGTTAGAAAGGGAGTTGGCGACACTGAGACTGCGATATAATGTTTATGTAGCAATAATACATTTTACATATATGTTTTAAATGTCTCCTGTACCGATAAAAAGACCGATAATGTTGGAGCTTAACTGCCTGTGAAACACACGTGATGACGTCACCAACGAATCGACGACTGAATTAGTTGGCAACTAATTTGGTCATCGATTTTAATCGATTAAATCGATTAGTTGTTGCACCCCTAATCCCAATATGTCAATGTCCTTAGACCCCTCGCAGTAACAAAGAACAATAGATGTTGTGTGTATAGCTACTACAATTGCAACATTTTGAATAAACTAAAAAGCTCTATATTCTTGTAAAGAGGTGTCTTTACCCATATACGCCACGTCCTTCCAGTCCAGCTTCTTCTCCTCCACCATCTTCCTCAGCAAGTGGAGGGGCTCGTCTCCGACCTGCACCACCCGGCAGCCCGTCCTCTCCGTCAGACGATCCGTCAGCAGCATAGCCACCGGGTCCATGTCGGAGGTGAGCAGCACCACCTGGTGGAGAAGAAGAGAGGTCAGTGAGCGGTCACATTTTAAGATTCAAGGCTTTTATTGTCATTTGTACATAGCTTTATGTTGGGAAAATACTGAATGTCCTCTTCCAATATGAGAGTCCACATGATAACAAAGGTATCCCAACTGTAGCTGTGTACATGACAGGATGTATGATTACCTAGAAGAGCATCAGGACTGTTTGAGGCATATGATAGCTATGTGATTAACATGATGATTCAGCCTCTATGGAGATAGACATATGACAAGCATGCTCATTTCTGACGTGGAGCTAATCTGAAGTAAACATTGAATACTGCTTTCTATTCCTCCATCTTGTGACTGTGTAACTCCCTCTCTTGGATATCAGCATGTGAAGGACACGGTTCAGGAACTAGTTGATGCTCTGTATGTGATGACTACTTCCATTCTGGAGAGGATCATAAATACATGGATCCTGAGATTGAAGCTCAAGCCGGTGACGAGGGATTATGAACATTTTTAAGTATTCAGAAAAAGTCAGAATTTTGAGATTTTGAGAAAAAGTCAGAATTTTGAGATTTTGAGAAAAAGTTAACATTTTGAGAAAAAGTCAACGTTTTGAAAAAAAGTCTGAATTTTGAGAAAAATTCTGAATTTTGAAAAAAGCCCGAATTTTGAGAGAAAGTCAGAATTTTGAGGGGGAAAAAAATCAGAATTTTTAGATTTTGAGAAAAAGTCCGAATTTTTAAATTTTGAGAAAAAGTCAGACTTTTGAGATTTTGAGAAAAAGTCAGACTTTTGAGATTTTGAGAAAAAGTCAACATTTCTCACTGGCTCAAGCCGGTGACCAGTGAGATGTTTCCTAACACTACAGTAACAAGGAACAACTCTCCCAAAGTAACGGAGAGTAGTAACAATAGATGTTGTGTGTAGAGACTTAAAAAGATACTACATTTGCCACATTTTGAATAAATAAAAAGCTCCATATTCCTGTGGAGAAGAGAGGTCAGTGTGTCAGAATCAGAAACTGGTTTATTACCAGGTAGGATGACATGCACGAGGAATTTGACTTGGTGTCGTGGTGCAAACATAAAAGTAAAACTAAAAACACACAGAGAACTATTTTAAGAAAACTATAATAACATTAAAAAAATATAGTAAAAATTAAATATAGCAGTATTTATATTGAAATATAATGGAATAAGATATGTGCAGTAATACAAATAAAATAAAGATATTGTCTACACATACTTATGTATTAATATTTTTGTTTATCAATTTGACACTGCTTAAGTTTGTACAGTAATCAAATAAAAAAAAGAAAAGAGCTCTCTTCCAGCCAGAGGAGATGTGTTATATAGAGATATTCCAGTGGGCAGGAAGGACACGAGATGAAGGACACGAGATGAAGGACACGAGATGAAGCAACGGTGCATTATTTTGGACAAACTCCCACCTCGATGTCCTCTTTCTGCAGCATGCGGATTCCCCTGGTGTCTCGGATGTTGATGGACACCATCTCCTCCCCGGACACAGACATGAAGATGCGTCCCCCCGTCAAACATCCAGAGATGTTGCAGAACATCAGACGCACCACCTCTGGGGAGGGGGCTCCGAAATAACCAAACCTGAGGAGAGAGAGAGAGAGAGAGAGGACAAAGGTTAGAAGGAATTGGAAACAAATCAAGTTATTACTCCCAAAACTCACAGTATGATTATATCTAAGAAAATATTTAACTTAAAGGTCCCATGTCATGATTTTCTGGTTATTACCCCTCCTCTTGTGTAGCTTTTTATGCATGTGAACGGTCTGCAAAGTCACAAACCCTCAAAGTACACCCTGTAGCGAGTAAAACTCTAACATAGAAAAGACCCGTCTATGCTGCCCCAGAACGCCTCGTTGGACATTTTTCTATTTCCATTTTTTTCTTCCGGGAACCAAGTGACGTAACGACGATCCAAATGGACCTTTTGGTCCAAATGTGAGCTCCTCACACACACACACACACACACACACACACACACACACACACACACACACACACACACTCAGCCAGCCTTATTTTTCTCAGCTGCAGCTCCGCGGATTTCTCAGCCTGGACTCAGCCTGAGACAGCGGGACACGGCGACTCGGCGAGGCCCGGGCCCGGTCCGAGCACACACACAGACCTGGCTGCGGGTGTGTGCGTTTGCTCCGGCCGAGCCCTAAATTAGGGCGTGGTCACTTTGATGGACAGGTCTCTGCGTTGACTGCTGCTTCTAGCTTTCTGTCCCTCTGCTAGCTCCGTTAGCTCTGTTAGCTCCAGGATGCTACAGGGGCTCAGCTGCGAGGCTGATCCGGGGAACACAACTTGAACTCGGACGTGTTGTGTTGGTGCCTGGTAGAGTATTCTTCATTTAAATATCGGACTTATCTTATGCCGCCTCGGCTCCGCCTCTTTGCCCTTATTTGGATCAGGCTGGAGCAGGCGGGAGTCAGACTCTGGGTGTTTCTCAATGTCGAGTACGCTTGCTTGGTATCACATGTCTTCCGAGGGTCTTGCTTCAGAAGCGAGGCAAGAATACTTCCTGGTATTCGGAAAACGAAGAGTGGAACAGGCGAGCAAGTGTGCAGGTGTGCGTCATATGAGAGGCCCCGCCTTACATTTTCCGCCACAGATTTGGGGAAGTTGGTCCGTGCGCAAAGCATTGTGGGGATTTTAAGACCGCGGAGTCTACTCATGTGCAGCCTTGAAATTTCTCGCTACGAAGTACGCCGGGCTCGGTAGATTTCCAAGTATGCTGGACATTGGAACAGTCCTTCGGCGGCACTCGATGACGTAGTATGCTTGAAATAGTGGCTCTGGAGCAGCTTTACTCGACATTGAGAAACACGTTTTCGATGGACGAGAGTGAAAATGGAACGCACACGCTATTTGTATATATCACGCAGTCTGTCTTCCGGTTGCCTCTTTTGAATGACGAATACACACTACCGCCTCCTGCTGGTAAGGAGAGTTATTGCCACTCACGCATGCGCAGTGCGTACGTGCTACTTGGCCGTCGGCTGAAATCTTTGCGGTGTGTTCCAGTGCGACTGTTTGGCCAAGACGCAGGAGACGTGAGGCGACACAACAGTCGGGTCGGTCGGGACGTGTTATTTGTCAGTTTGTCAGTTTGGTGTGTCAGGGCCTTAACAGCAACAGGGTAAGAATGAAAAACAGGACAGCAAAGATTCACACGGATTAACACAATTAAAGATCAAATCAAAGATAAAAATACAATTATTTACAGTTAAGTAACTATAAAATAAGAAATGAATTCAAATGAACATATATGCATATCAGATATATTTACATGTATGTGTGAAAACAGTGTCGTACTTACGATATCTTTCCCTCGTTTCTGATAACTAACCAGTCCCTAAAGATTAGATTGAGTTATAAAAGATTATAAAAAGTGATCTGCTGCACAGGTTTTCTGTATAAGTCTACCTGCTATATATAAGGTGCTATACAAATAAAGATTATTATTATATTAATATTAGTACCTGAGGACTCTCTGCTCCGCCACAGGCCAGTCGATGTCCACGTCGATGTCCACGCTGTACTCCGGCAGCATCTCGTAGTACGCCACCTTCCCGCCCTAAAGAGAGGAGAGCGGAAAATCAAGATTCAAGGCTTTTATTGTCATGTGTACATAGCTACAGGTCGCAGGCTCCTCCAACAGTACAGCACAATAAAACTGATCAAATAGTTTAAATAGTGCAAGGAGAGTCTATATACAAGTAATTGGAATATGATATATTAGATACATAATTTGTCCATGTGACATGTACTTTTATGACTTGAACCGCAGTATTTCATTCTACTCCACTTCACTTTGGAAGCAGATATTGTACTTTTTACTCCTCACTTATCAAGTATAGAGTTTAAAAAGTAAATGGTTGGAAATGGTTGTATTGCTGAGTGCATTTATGTTTGTCTTTAAATGCATTTGATTATTATAATTGATTCATTTTTTCTCGTCTTGTCACCTGGTGTGTCTTTGTTTTTTACTACCTAGATCAGGGGTGTCAAACTCATTTTCATCTCGGGCCACATTAGCATTATGGTTGCACTCAAAGGGCCGGTTGTAACTTTAAGACTATATAAAAATACATATATAAATATTTAATATATATAAAATAATGTATTATATTACATTATTGCCTCTGCATTGGATTATTATCAGATAGGGTAATAACTTCATAATTAACTACGTCTGAAAGCAGAAGTCTAGGGCAAATAATTGCAAGTCTCTTCAGTGAGAATGTCACAAAATGATTTAAAAAGAAAAGCCAAATTCTGGAAAACAATAAAAAAAAGTCAAATTCTGAGAAAAGTCAAATTTGAGATGCATTGTGGGACATGTAGTTTATGGGCAACGTGCTTCTGTAAATCATCATGTAACCGTATAATAAACATATCATATTTCTTGCAAGTTCTTGTGGGGCCACAGAAAATGAAGTCGCGGGCCGGATTTGGCCCCCGGGCCTTGAGTTTGACACCCCTGACCTAGATGGTTACGTATTAGTAAGTCAAATGTTGTATATTATCGTGGATTGCCAACTCATTTGTTAATATCTGTATTTGTGGATGTCATTGTTTGTGTTTGTAAAAAAATGAAAAACGTGTGTGTTTACCTGTAGTATCTGTTCCGTTAGCAGCATCTCCTTGGTGGTGAAGTAGAAGGATCCGTTCTCACACAGCTCTCCGTCCCAGTCCTGCCGGCGGGGGCGATTTTTCGGGCTCAGGTTCAAGGGGAGCGTCTTTTCTCCAGCTGGAGGAGAAGAAGAGGGGGAGAAAACAAACAAAAAAGGTTAATGTTGGGAAAATACTGAATGTACTCTTCCAATATCAGAGTCCACATGATAACAAAGGTATCCCAACTGCAGCTGGATGTATGATTACCTAGAAGAGCATCAGGACTGTTTTATATTCTATTGTATTTACTTGCACTATTTTATCTGTTTTATTACATTACATGTTACTTGTTAGACGCTTTTATCCAAAGCGACTTACATACTCAATACTGTGGACAACCCCCACAGGAGCAATTTGGGGTGAAGTGTCTCAGGGACACAACGACATGCTGACTGCAGTGGGGTTTGAACCTGTGACCCCCTGATCCCAACACCAAGGCTCTATCCACTGCGCCACAGGAGCAATTTGGGGTGAAGTGTCTCAGGGACACAACGACATGCTGACTGCAGTGGGGTTTGAACCTGTGACCCCCTGATCCCAACACCAAGGCTCTATCCACTGCGCCACAGGAGCAATTTGGGGTGAAGTGTCTCAGGGACACAATGACATGCTGACTGCAGTGGGGTTTGAACCTGTGACCCCCCTGATCCCAACACCTACGGACAACCCACTGCACCACACGCCTCCTTATTGTGTTGCACTGTTGTTGGAGTACAACTCAAGTACAAGTACCTCAAAATTGTGCTTCAGTACTTGAGTAAATGTACTTAGTTACTTCCGACCTCTGATAATATGCAATATCTACAATATTTAGCGACATAAATCATTTTAAGCAGAAGCATCTATCCCAAAGTTATATTTAGTTGTCTAGTGTTGTGTTTTTGTTTTTAAATACAAGAGTAGCAGATTATAGTCTGGTAGTTGGGTTGTGTGATAATCCTATTTTATCCTGTGTCAGAATTTTCTACTACGATAAACTATGCAAACAATTTATTCCATTGTGATATTCACATGACTAAATGTCTAAAACTACAACATAATACTCCCATATTGTTATTTCAAAGAAAAGTCTTAGCATAGGATCCTATTGTTAACTATTTTTTAAATTCGCATCGTTTTTACAAACTGCAGTAACGCTGAATCATTTCCTGGTACCCTGATGATTGGAGGATGCAATGTCTCTTTCACTATCTATCAAACCGGTTTTAACGTGTTTTACCTGTTAGATGTTCCCTACGTAGATACGCCCGGAGGTTTTAAAATACAGTACATGCAGTGTTTTTATACTACAAAGACAAGACCTAAAGCTAATACCTGTTCTGCTGCATTCAGAGGGAGCGAGGACTACAATCTGATTCTGTGTGATCGACTTTCTGTGAATTTAAAAGTGTTTTCCGTCAGTGGAATAAGAGGGAAAGTGAGAAGGAAGTGTGAGGAACGACAGGAGCTGGTGCAATCATTTAAGATCCAGTCAACTACAGTGCACTTTCCGTGGAGGTGAATGCATCAGATGTTTCATCAAATAGGTAGAGATTTTTATCATGAGAACATCTCAGTTTATGTGGAATCATGTTTCACAACTTGAGGCTCAGACTTAGTTGTAAAATGTTTCCCCTTCAGGCGTTTGGCTTTCCAATTCTGACTGTGGCTGTAAAAGATATAGAATAGAATAGAATCATTTAATGTCATTATACAATGAAAGAAAGAAAAGCTTCTCCCAAAAATATCACAACATACGGCTGCAAAACCCCCATAATATACTCTGTTTTCACACAAAAAAAGGACTCTTAATTGATCAGACCCTTCCTTCATCCACCCTACTTGATTTTTATTTCCGTTTTTAAATCAACTGTTTTGTTGTTCCATGTCTTCCTGTGTGTCTTAACTTACATTTTCATGTATTTATTAACTTGTAATAAACTGCTGTTGAAATCTTGAAAAGTAGAGTATACATACACTCACCGACAAAAATAATCAATCTCTCAAAAATCGTGAATCATATGGCAATTGCAATTCTAGAGAAACGCAATTATGTCCAAATCCTTCAGCCTCCGTTTCCACTACAGTTATGGTACCCTACTATTCATGTATTATTTATTTTAATGTTTATTACCTTTGCTTTTTAATAACTGTTTTTAAATGCCATTTTCTTAATGTCTTTCATTTTTGTAAAGCACTTTGAAGTGCCTTGTGTTGAAAGGTGCTATATAAATAAACTTGCCTTACCTTACCCTTACGTTCTTAGTCTCTAAAACAGGGGTGTCCAAACTAATTAAAAAAGTATAATGAAATATGGCCCACACATGAAACGTGTGCTTGTCTTATATTGCACTTCTGAAATATACATGTGAAGAAAAAGCCAAATAACTTAAAGGGGACCTATCATGCAAAATGCACTTTTTGATGTCTTTTATACATAAAGATGTGTCCCCGGTGTGTCGGGGAACTCACGCAGCGTCAGAAAATAAAACCCTCTCTCTTTTCCTCCGTACCCAAATCTCTAAAAACGGGGCTACAACGGAGCTGATCCAGATTTGCGTCCGATATGACGTAATATCGGAAATGTGGACCCACGGCCCTATCAGAAAAGTTGCTATCAGAAACAATGCCCGACTGTTTCGGACGTAATATGGTCGGCGTTTACATTAGCATCGCTAACACTCAGAGCTAACCTGTACTGGAGAGCATGTGTGTGAAGAAGCAGGAAATAAAAAGGAACTCACCTTGTGGTATAACCGGCAAGAGAGAAAGCCTTTGAGCTCCATACTGTTTCAGAAATAATCCTTGATAATCCATGATATGGCGTTTCATCACGGCAGCATTTAGTTTAGACGGTAGCTGCCGGGTCCCGCATGAGCTCAGCCCCCTCCTTTTATATTTTGTATCAATTTTGTAAAGCTTTATACCCCAAATCAGCACTTTTGAAACAGGAAGTGAAATAGCGGGATATGAGGCATGGCTAGAATGGATGATCTGTTTGGTATTTTGAGCAAAACACTTCATAGACATGTTTTTTATATATTTTTATATATCTGAGACCTATGCTATTGCCTAAAAATAGCATGATAGGTGACCTTTAAATTAATTACATAACAAGCATGAAATACACCCTTCATATTTCCTCTTATTATCAGCAATCTGAGGCTTTTGTTTTAAGGAATGAGCTGCTAACAAAATAAATGAAACCCTCTGGAGAGCTGTGATGGAGGCTGTTGTGTTTCTTAAAGCATTTTCAAGTATCAAGAATAATTTACCTACATGATTGATTTAGCGAACTCATAAATCACTTTTATTTTATTTTTGTTTTGTATTGCCTGGCTGGCCTTTTGTTACATGATTGTAATGTTGTTGTAAACAGCATGTTATTGCCATGTGACAATAGAGATTTAAATTACATTAAACAAACAATCTCTTGCACTGTTGAAAAAAGGTTTATCTATTTTTCCATCCGCTGTATAGAACAGGTATTAAAGGTCTCCTATTATACTATTCTTAGACATATATTATGAGTCTCAGATATATACAAATATATAAAGAAACATGTCTATGATGTGTTTTGCTCAAAATACCAAACATATCGTGCATTTTAGACATCCATCATATACCTCTGATCAGCTCTGTTAGAGAAACGCTGATTCTAAAAGACATCAAAAAGTGCATATATAGACTTTTTTACACTACTTTTTATTTTGTATTTTTGTATTTTATTACATATGTTGGATTGTTTCATACGATTTTCATTGCCATTTCTACACTGTAGCCTTGTGCATATGACAATAAAACCTTTACACTTTGAATGATAGGACAGCTTTAACTCACATCCTTGCTTGGTCTCCTTCCAGCGAAACTGGTGTCTGCGCACCACGGAGAACACGGAGTCGTACCCCTGCTCCGTGATCAGCTCCAGCGCATCCTTCAGGTGGAACGGGTGGAGGCAGGGGGATGTCGCCTGGAGGTTGCAGATCACATCCACCTCTGAAGAAACACAGAGTCAAACAGCTGCTGGACACCAGAGAGGGCAACAGTACACACATCCTTAGAAGTACAGGTACTTGTGTTTAAAAATACTCTGGTAAAAGTAGAAGTACTGACTAAACTTCTTTACTCAAGTAAAAGTAAAGAGGGCTTTGAAATGTACTTAAGTAAAAAGTACCCATAACTAGCAGCTGTTTTAAAGAGTACCTGACCTCCCTTTATATTAATAGAACAATAATGTCATTGTTAGCTAATGAATGTTTCCATGCTGAACAACGGCAACATGACAACGTTTTCATTGGTCCCTCTTCTTTAGAGAAGACCAGGAAATGATGGATACACGGATCGTGTTCAAATCAATAGGCACGCAATGACTCTAAATAATAATGATCACGCCACCAAACACACATTCAAACTAAAGGAACCAGCCTGTTTGGGAAATGTAAGAAGTAGAAAGTACAGGTATTTGAGTTCAATATGTAAGAAGTAGAAAGTACAGGTATTTGGGTTCAAAATGTAAGAAGTAGAAAGTACAGGTATTTGTGTTCAACATGTAAGAAGTAGAAAGTACAGGTATTTGGGTTCAAAATGTAAGAAGTAGAAAGTACAGGTATTTGTGTTCAACATGTAAGAAGTAGAAAGTACAGGTATTTGGGTTCAAAATGTAAGAAGTAGAAAGTACAGGTATTTGTGTTCAACATGTAAGAAGTAGAAAGTACAGGTATTTGTGTTCAAAATGTACGAAGTAGAAAGTACAGGTATTTGTGTTCAACGTGTAAGAAGTAGAAAGTACAGGTATTTGGGTTCAACATGTAAGAAGTAGAAAGTACAGGTATTTGTGTTCAAAATGTACGAAGTAGAAAGTACAGGTATTTGTGTTCAAAATGTAAGAAGTAGAAAGTACAGGTATTTGTGTTCAAAATGTAAGAAGTAAAAGTAAAAAGTCGTCAGAAAAATAAGTAGTGGAGTAAAGTACTGATACCAGAAAAATGTACTTAAGTACAGTAACAAAGTATTTGTACTCCACTACTTCCCACCTCTGCACTTCACTGTTATTGATCTGCCATCTCTACTTCCTCCTCAGTAAAGGAACACAGATTTATTTCGGGGCTTTCCCCCTGTTTGTAAGGTAAACTGACAGATCAGATTTACTGTAATTGTAGAGGCAACACAATGCAGTTGTTTACAGAAGTTATACAATACCTAAAGAAAATGCAATTAGTATGCAGAGGTGGGAGAAGTAGTCAGATCTTGTGCTTGAGTAAAAGTAGAAGTACTCAGATCTTGTACTTGAGTAAAAGTAGAAATACCAGAGTGTAGGAATACTCTGTTACAGTAAAAGTCCTGCATTCAAAATGTTACTCAAGCAAAAGTAGAAAAGTATTAGCATCAAAATATACTTAAAGTAGCAAATGTAAAAGTAGAAGTACTCAGATCTTGTACTTGAGTAAAAGTAGAAGTACCAGAGTGTAGGAATACTCTGTTACAGTAAAAGTCCTGCATTCAAAATGTTACTCAAGCAAAAGTAGAAAAGTATTAGCATCAAAATATACTTAAAGTAGCAAATGTCAAAGTAGAAGTACTCAGATCTTGTACTTGAGTAAAAGTGGAAATACTCAGATCTTGTACTTGAGTAAAAGTGGAAGTACTCAGATCTTGTACTTGAATAAAAGTAGAAGTACTCAGCTCTTGTTCTTGAGTAAAAGTAGAAGTACTCAGATCTTGTTCTAGAGTAAAAGTAGAAGTACTCAGATCTTGTTCTTGAGTAAAGTAGAAGTACCAGAGTGTAGGAATACTCTGGACACCGTGTCTCTGATCAAACACACCCCCACCCACACACACATCCTGGTTGGTGTGTACGTACCCGGATTGAGTCTGGAGAACTCCTGGATGGTTTCCAGGGATGAAGAAGAGTCTTTGGAAACCTCCGGACTCCTGCGGTGGACCTGCGCTCCCCAAACTTTCGCCACCTTTTCAATCTCATCGTGGTCGGTGGACACCCAAACACTAAGACAGATAAAAGTGTGTTATTATTGATATTAGGGTTATATGTAGGGCTGCCAAATTTGGAAAAAATGACTAATTGGGATTATTCTGATTGAGATTGTAACTGCGAGATTGGAAGTATTTTTGGCTGCGATTCCAATACGTATTTAATATCTTGCAGCCCTAGTTATACCATGTTTGCAATCATCTCTTCACATATACTTTCATTGCTTTACTCGTGTGCTAATAGTCTGTTTTCTTTCATGTTTTTCTATCATGTGCAACATACCTTTCTCTAGGGACTAAAAGTACTAATACAACCCTGTGATACTTAGGTCAAAGTAAAGAAGTATTTAAAGAAGAACACCCCAGAAAAACTCCAAATTAATCCAAATAAATTCGGAAAATTTGTTATTTGATTCATCGACAGCGCTGGTCTTGTATAAACTGTTAGTTAGCGCTTTCATCTTTTACTACTATAAATCACTTTAAATTCTTATCATGGACCAATTCCACACACTACATATTTGAGAACATAAGAAGTACACATGTGTATTACAATATATAAACATGTGTAATACAATAAATTACATGTGTACTACAATATATAGAGTGGTGCATTAGCATTAATAAGATTTTAATGCTGAATTGCACAGTTTTAAAAAGGGTTTTTTGTTTAAGGTTTCAAGTTTTGAGATAGATAGATAGATAGATAGATAGATAGATAGATAGATAGAGAGGTAGAGAGGTAGATAGATAGATAGATAGATATATAGATAGATAGATGGATAGATAGGTAGATAGATAGATAGATAGGTAGGTAGGTAGAGAGGTAGAGAGGTAGATAGATAGATAGATAGATAGATAGATAGGTAGAGAGGTAGAGAGGTAGATAGATAGATAGATAGATAGATAGATAGATAGATAGATAGATAGATAGATAGATAGATAGATAGATAGGTAGGTAGGTAGATAGATAATTTGGTGGTAATTCTCAGTTTACTTACACAAATATTGCATTTACAATACAATACAACTTTATTTATAGCACTTTATAACCCCGAGACCAAAGCGCTGTACAGAGAAATTAATAAATAACCTCACAAACCATAAAGTAAATAAAAGGTAGGCAAAAGCTACAACAATAACTCAACAGGTAAGGCTGATACTTGCACCGTTTAAAGGGGTTGTGGCAGGGTTTTGACATTATGGGGTTTAGGGTCTTAAGATAAGATAAGATAAAAAGTACTTTATTGATCCCAATTTGGGCATTGTACATAAGAGAAATTAAAAGACTAGAGGCAAGAGCTAAAAGGTAAAATAAACAACAATAAATGAACAGATAATGCTGATACTTGCACACTTTAAAAAGGGGGTTTGGCTGCTGTACTATTTTAGATTTTCTTGGAGTTAATTCTCACACTTTATAGTAAATATTATTGCGTGTACCTCTGAAACACCCCAGACTCCACAGCAGCCCGGAGGACCCATCCGAGCAGAGGAACCCCGGCCAGCATCTTGATGTTTTTCAGGGGTATCCCTTTACTTCCTCCGCGAGCCAGAATCAGCGCGGCGACGTGTCTCTTTCCATCCGCCTTGGAGAGCTTCTGAGCGGGCAGCAGCTCGTCCGCCTGCCCGGTACCCTCTGGAGGATCGACTGTCTCCATGGAGTCCATAATAACTCCGGATGCAAGGTGAGGTAGAAAATACAATAAAACCGGGTTACTGTCCACCTAAGAAACTCAGAATGACTCCGAAATGTCGGTTTAAGTAGAAAGGTGTGTAACAGTGAAACACCCCCTGCTTTCTTCTGGTGCTGCTTTTCATGCTGTGTATTCAGCTTTGATGCTCATTACTGCTCCCTGCTGCTGCTGTGGAGAAATGCTTTTTTCTCCATAAGATTCAAGATTCAAAGGTTTTATTGTCATATGCACAAAGCTAAATACCATACCTTTACCATCATTACAAAACACTCTGCTATAGCCTACAACATGTGCAATATTATTATTATGATTATTAATAATGTTCGATAAATAACGTGCAATTACGTATCTACCATTACGGTTTTTGTTGCACTACTAAATACCAAATACTGTTAATATGTACATTAATTATGTGACCATCTATGTTTCCTGTAGATATTTCATTGCTCTTTTTACTGCACTGTTATTATTATTATGCTGCTGTGTTTATTTTATTTTTGGAACTCTGGCACAACAATTTCCTTTCGGGATAAATAAAGTCCTATCTTATCTTATCTTATCTTATCTTATCTACAATGTAGAAATGGTAAGGACATGTTTCTGACCGGTTTATTGCGGTGATAACTATTTATATAAATTAGTATATTGCAAGATGACAACAGGAATGTTTATCGGGGGCACTTAACTTATTTTGTGACTTCCTAATCAATGCATTTATGGGCTGCTTTTAGTGAGATTAACCCAAGAAGAAGTATTAATATCCCTTAGGTAAAAGTATTAATATCACAGTGTCTGTTACAAGTGCAATCCTGCAAATAAAATATCAACATAATTTACTCCGTGCAACTGGGTTAAGGTATCTTAATTCATACGTAGTACATCATAATTCATTTATTGATTTCTATGTGTTAATAATTATATCAACATGCAAAGTAACTACTCAAAAACTGGTTAGATTTGTGCAGAGATAGAAGAAGTAATCAGGTCCTTATTTCAGTAAATAACCACATTTAAAAGAACTAATATTCATTGATTATGTGCTTTGCTGAGTCCTGAGTCCTTGATCCTGAAATAAACTTTGATTGATTGATTATGTATACATTGTATCATTTGCACTATTTGTTGTTGCACTATTAAAACCTTTTAAAGGTCACCTATTATGCAAAATCCACTTCCTCATGTCTCTTCTACATCAACATGTGTCCCCTCTTCTTCATGTCTCTTCTACATCAACATGTGTCCCCTCTTCTTCATGTCTCTTCTACATCAACATGTGTCCCCTCTTCTTCATGTCTCTTCTACATCAACATGTGTCCCCTCTTCTTCATGTCTCCTCTACATCAACATGTAAAACAGTATAATAGGTGACCTTTAATACTATTTATCTTTAGTTTATGATATGGTGCATTGTTGAAGGAGCATGGGACTTCAGATTTACATTGAGAACAACTTGATAATGCTATTGTGTATTATAAGTATCATCAGCTAAATGTAGTCAAAGTATTAAACGTAAAAGTCCCCAGTATCCAAAACAAAGACGGTCAAAACTTAACGAGCTGTGTTAACATGTTATGTTGTGTTCGGGTCTCCCGTGAGCCGTTTCAAGTTCAAATTATATAATAACTACGGTCTAGTGTTTTTTATCGGAGCAAGGCTTCATGATATCCTCCACAACAGCTATAGACTACAAAACAGATTTTAACCATTTTAGCCAAGTCTGAAGGTCTCTAAAAAGAAAAGTGTATCATTTGGTGTTGGGGTCTGGGGAGACCCAGCAGAATTGTTTTGGGTGACTCAGGGTCAAATTTGGCCCAATCAAGATTCATCTTTGACTTTAGACACCCCTCCCCCACCCCCTTCATCCACTGTAACAATAATTGTTTGCAACATGCACCTGGTCTCCCCTCCCTCTGGCCCCCTCCCCCCACGGGAACTCCACCTTTCTCAAAGAATATGTACACTAACACTTGAACCTGAACTCACACATGCACGTGTGCAATATGTGGTGTAATGTGTTTTTGGTCCATAACATTAAATTACAACAGGATCGTATGGTTATGAATTCATAACAAGTTAGTTATGATGTAGTTAAAACAATATTGGATGATAGTCATTTTTTGTGTGTGTTTTGGACTGAGATAACTCATGAATCAAAATGTACCCGCGAATACCATGAACGGTAACAGCTTTCGATCACAACACAATGGTTAAGTGTTTTCCTGGCTGCTTTTGTTATTGTCGTGCGAATGGATTCATTATACGGATTCGTTTTCAAAGGTTTGAATCAGATGCATTGATGAAAAGATGCAGAGTAATTATGAAGGAATGTGACAGGACGTCACAACAAACAGTGGAAACAAGCGTCATTTAAAAAACGTGACTATTTAAAGTTAAAACCTGTTGGGCGTTCCTCCAGCAGCAAACACGGACACATCTTGACTTTAGCTTTTTCAGAAAGTGTATTACATATTTTACAGAAAATACAGCTTTTGTAATTTTTCTTTTCTTAATTAATTCCTTCATTTATTTAATTTGTATTTATTTTACATATATACATATTTTGTATTCACTTATTAATTGTTTAATATCTTTTTTTTTATTTTTTTTTACATGTTTTATATATTTATTTTATAATCTTTTATTTATTTTTATTATTTATTTATTGTTTTTTAAATGTATTATTAATTTATTGATTGATTTATGTATTTAAATATTATTTTAATTCACTTTGAAATTTCTTTTAATTAATTTTAAATGTTTTAATTATTATATATTATTAATTAATTTATCTTCCCTTATTCACTATCTCCTGCACACCCAAGCTCTTCTTCAGGTCTTTAAAAAAGGTGTGTGAAACCTGATTAAACCTGATCGGGTGTGTGTGTGCACGCGCAGGAATACAAATGAAGGTGGACAGATTTCAGAAAAGCCGCTGAACCTGCGGATCGAAACCGTCTTTGTGTTGAGTGATGGTTACAACTGGAGCAGCCGGAAAACACCTTTGATCTGCTGACGTTTTGCTTTTGTGTGTAATTGATCAACAGCTTCTGATATTAAAGGCCGTAACCATGGAGTCAACATTGGGGACCAAAAATTCAATCAACATTTGAATACTAATTTCCTGCCATTCTAAAGGAAAATATATAAAAAATTCACTAACACATGGGATACTTTAAAACCTGTCAAACCCCATGCCCCCGCCCGTGGAGGCAAACAACGACAATATTCACGAAACTGTGTCTCAGGCATGGGCGTAGGAAGCATCCTCAATGTGGGTAGGACAATTTGACGGGGGGTGTGGGCAGGTGGCTCCTCTAGGGGGGTCCGGGGGCATGCTGAAGATTTTATTTTAAATGTTGAAGTTAAAAGCATCAGTCTGGTGCACTTCGAGAGCAAAATGAAGAGATCTATGGATACCTCTCTCAACACCCATATGAAACTGAACTGTAAACAGATTTTCTTTGACTTTATGCATATTTTACAAATCACTCCCCTAGCTACTATTCCTGAAAAGTTTGGTTTTAACATCAGAACTACACGTTATTTACACAAAGAAGCTAAACCGGAGGGTTCATTAACATTACCATTACTAACTAGAAAAAGATACCAGAACTGATGGAGGGCAAATTAAAACATGACTGACCTGCTGCTTGGAGCATCAACGCTAACTGAAGCTGGACTCGGACGTGCGACAGCAAAATACACCCCCCGGGTACAAAATAAAGGTTTGCATAAACAAACAAAGGCGGAACCAATTTACATACGAAAAGAATATATCATTTTGGTGAAGTTCACAATAACAGAAAATAAAGATTTTCAAGTATACAAATAGCCAAAATAAAAAAGTCATAGAATAGCATTTTTTAATTTAATTTTTTATATCAGTTAGGCTATATATTGGGGGGGGGGGGGACATTTTGAGCGTATCTGAATATTGGGTGGCATGTCCCCCCCCCAATGTATACGGCCCTGTATTAAAGTACAATTAAGGAGATCAACACAAAAATAAAGTGACGTGATTCAAAACAGACGGAGAGGTGAGTAGCGTCATCAAACAGGAAATGATTCATAAATAAATAAAAACAAGTATTGTCTTACAAGTATTAGGTTTATGGAATCATAACCTGTACCTTTAATCTAAATGTATTTGTTATATATGTCTACTCTATGCAATTTGTTGTTGTTGTTATGTCTTTTACTGGTAGCCTAATTGTATTCTGTGTGATATCAATCTTCTGTGAAATGTCTATGTGAAGCACTTTGAACTGCACTTCAATCAGGAGAGACGGTTTTGAATAATTTAAACATAAACATAATTTTAAAAATCAAAAATATGCTATGTAAGTTTCTTCCTGTATTTAAATAAATAAATAAATAACCTTTTATTATTCTAAATATTTCTTATCTTGGTTTTATTCAAGAAACGCTCTGATAAACTTACAGAAAATATTTGAAATGACTGATTTAGTTTAAAAGCATCAATAGTTTCACATTTGCTGACACCAAAAAGTGTCTAAAGGTTTATTATTGACATGTAAATCACAATCAGAATGAAGTTTATGGCCAGGTACGTTTACACATACAGTAGAAGGAATTTGCTTTGGTATCTGATGGTGTGAACATAAACAACCTAAACAAATAAGTTGCAAAGTACATAATAAAAAAGAGAAAAAAAGAAATATATATAAGGATAATAAAAAATAAGTATCTTCAAGAAACAATTTAGCATTAAAAAAGGATGCTAAAGACAATACGAGTGCTGCTATCAATCAGAAGGATATTATATGTCTGTTTTCAAGACTACAACTTGTTGCCCTGCAGGTTTAAAGCACCTGGAGCCGTGTCACGTTTTTTTTAAAAGGCTTCAGACGCATGTTACATAACTGAGTTTGAGGATAAGAATCAGAATACTTCATTTATCCAGGGGGAAGATGTTAAAGTAAAAACGTGCAAACAAATCATAACAAATCAAATATAATAAAAGTAAATATATGACCATCTGAAGTTGTGCAAGACATGTGCACAACTAACTATCTATCGATTGTTGTACTACAATATATAACATGATATATAATTGGGACGTTATGAGCTTCTCCTCTTGTTTTTTTTAAG